ACTGGTTATGTAGTTATTAGATCACACTATCCAATAGCCAGCCCCAAAAAACACCAACTTGAGTAGGAAACTGCCAAGCCGCTTCAGCCAAAATTTGCCCGCCAGTCAGACTTAAAACTTTCCCAATTTGGTGTGAAAATTGCCAACCTGGCAACTCTGAGATAGAGAAAAACGACAGAGGAATGAGGTTATAGAGTTGACCTCGAGGAGGAGGAACAAGACACAGAGTGACCTCACACCAGGTCTAGAAAATTTTACTGGAATAGATAACCTTTCACCCCAATGACCTCACCAGGCTTGATGTTGTCTATTTATAGAGAGATTCATTGTTGTTGTTTTTTACTTTGCCATTTTAAAGCTTGAATAAATCTATTCTGTGCATTCTTTCATTGAGATTGATTGACCATAAAAAAGTAGATTTGAAAATTTTAATTCCAGTTAAAGGAACACTGTCTTAACTTAAAAGTGAATCCAAGAAGAATACAGATGGGTCAGGTAAATAAGCAAAATAAAAATCTTGCATAATAACCTGAAATAATATTTTTTTATATGTATCAGGATCCATCTGGGTCGTTTGATGGTAAACTTGCCCACGACTTTACTGGTGTCTAATTTCTTTTTGCGGTGAATCTGCATCAGAGCCAACACCTGTGATCCCCTCCCTGTAATCTGATGTCAGTAATGGTAACCCTCGTCATTTAAGGTACACTAATGACAAGCCAGGAACGTGTATGAGATGGTAGGGGCCGAATTAGTCTTGGCATAAGTTGACGACCTAGCGTGATTTGGTCTACTGTGATGCCAAGTGGATCTGCCACATGATATAGGTGAATACAGCAATGTAAGTAAATTAGCTGATGACACAAAAATAGCGTGTACAGTACAGTATAATTAATTCTGATGAGGACTACAAAAAATTATGGGAAGACCAAACACAAACTTTTTTATGGACTGAAAATAGCAGATGCAATTTAATGTGGCCAAAATTTTAAGTTGTACGGCTGGGAAATGGAAACTGGGTAACCAGCAATCACCTGAACAACATAGATATTGTATAGAGAAATCAGACTGTGAGAAAGATTTAGGGGTAATGATAGTAGGAACCATAAACCAAGTCAGCAATGCATTATGCTCAAAACAAGGCTAACAAGGTACAGATAAGTTCTGAGATTCAACCATAATTCATTCTTGAAAATGTGGTCGAACCTCGAACTGTTGAATGTCGAGCTAATTTTCCCCATAAGAAACACTGTAATTACGATTGATGCATTCTCAACTCCTTCAGATATAATCCAAATACGTACTGTATTACTAGAGAGAAAATATTAATATGGTACTGACCGACCAGACATCTTCTGTGACCACCTTCATTATTTTCTTTTTAATTTGGTCCCTCTGCTTGGCAAAATTTGAGATACTAGTCGACCGAGATATTCCCAGAGATCAAGCAATGAAGGCATGTGATTCACCACTTTCATTTCATTTAATTATATCTAATTTTATCTCATAACTATGGCTTGTATGAGCTCTCTTTTTAGCACTATGAATCGTATTAAACTTTCTCTTATCATTGGCCATGATGAAAACAGTGGATGACCCCAGGAGCAAATCTTTTGCTGGGGCAGCTGTGTGGATTCCTGAGAGCCAGGCCCGCAGGAAAATCAGGGTCCACGACAGGGCCTCCTCCACTGACACTGAAAGCATAGCCATCCTTGCGGGCATTATTTGGGGCGACCTATGCTCGCACTGAACGCCGGAACCTCCTTATAATCAGTGACAGTACTTCTGCGCTAGCGAGGCTCAAAATACCCTCCCCCTCCTCCCCTGCCGCCCAACACACCCTACCCGCCATCGCCGGGCTAGAACAAACTGATGACATCCGTGTCAAGTTTATTTAGATCCCGTCACACATAGGAATAACTGTTTGTGACACTGTTGATCGGCTTGCCAAAGAAGCGACACAAGAAGATATTGAAGCCACCCTCACCCTCTCCCTGAATCATCTCAAACCTCGCATACACGCCGCAGAATGAGAAGCATTCGACGAAAATTGGACACACCTGAAACAACGGGGTAGCGACACACTACGCCACTATGACACTGTAACCGGTGACGACAACCGCCACTACAAAGAGTATCAATCCCTGACTCGATCAATCTCGACAGATTATGTACATGAGATTGCGCCTAGGGTACAGGTACTTATGGGAGTACATTGGCAACCCTGAGCCTGGGCGCATTGTTTGTAAACTTTTTGGCCAACCCGACTCTCACACCCTCCCTCACTACATCCTCACTTGCCCTATGACTTCCTCCTACAGGTCCCCAGCTGTTACCAACACCTCTTTCCTTCCTGACCAGATATCCCTCCTCCTAGTGACAGACCTGGCACTTGACATTATTAGGGACCTGCCACGCTTTGCCATAAACAGATGAAATGTACCGGGAACTTTCCCCCCACACACTCATCATTCTGTCACTTTATGTAACTTGCTGACAAAACCTATGACCCTTCAGGCTTCTGCACTTCACTTTGCACAGGATGTAAGGGGGTGCCCAATAAACCAGCTCCCTCTGGGGCAATCTAAAAAAAAAATCTATTAAATAACAAAAGCAAATTGAATAAAGCCTTATTTAAAAAAATATGATGTGTATTAAATAAATAAAACTTAACACTCACCTGATATGGCAGAGGAAATTGTTACTCAATAAAGTGACGATGGTGCATAAATTTAGTTTTTTTTCAAAATGATGTTAATTCTAAATGATACAATTGATAATGGCAATTTATTTATCAAATGTGCCTAAAGGAAATAATTAAATTAAGTTAAATTTCTATGTACAGTAGACCCTCGTGATTCTCAATTTCGACAATTCACAGTAAGCAAATAGTGGCTAGCTTGTGAGCATTTTCCCACAGCACAACGAGTCACCCCATCCAGCATCTCCTGTTGTACTCTCAAAACTTTAGTGTTTCTGTGTGAAATGGCCCCCTAAAAGATTGTCTAGTGTCATTTCCTGTGATGCTAGTGGAATGAAATGTAAAAGGCAGAAGTTAGTGATGACCCTGACAAAGAATGTTGAATTATTATACAAGTTACAAGAGGGGATGAGTGCTGCCGTGGCTGGTCGGTTGTTTGGTATAGGTATACTGTACAAGGTGCTATTCACAGTTTTGCCTATTCATACCATTCCTTGGAACCTAACCCCCGTGAATAACATTGATAGGGCTCGCATGAATTTGTCCAGTAAAGGAAGGGTTTACTGTATTAACTATACAGGTGTTCCTCTACTTAAGAACGTTCAACTTACAAACTTTCAGAGATACAAACATCATCACTGAGGGGGGTTACCTGCCAGAACAGGTGTTTAATGTGGATGAGACTGTATTATTTTGAAGAAAATTCCAGATAGAACAAACATTACCCAAGAGGAGAAGAGTGAGCCAGGTTTCAAGGCTGTATTAAAAAATATAGCTGTACTAAATATCCATAATCTTTTAATTTTTTACAATATGTTTGGTTTCTGCAAGAGTAAAGTTTGACTTGCAAACAAGCCTCAGGAACGTAACTCGTTCGTAAGTAGAGGAGCACCTGTATATACTGTATATTACGGAGGATTAGGTGACCTTCGGATAAGACGAGGCCCACATTTCAGTCTAAATGTCATGGTTTTAGCTCATATCTGTGGTATAAGACGACTCCCTAAACTACCAAACCACCTGTGGTAAATTTTAGGTCAATATGACCACCAATACAGTGATATGTTTAAAGTATTAAATACTTAGAATGTTTAATGAATTAAATCTTTTAATGTTTTATGTATTACGAGTAAAGGACTTGAATTATGCTATCAGAGAGCCATATAATAAGGTAAATACCATATGTAGACTATTGTGTAACTGAGAATAATAAAACTCAATTATCACGAAATAAAACCGAGATTGGTGTAATACCTGGTGGTTTGTCTTCTGTACTGCAACCACTGGACGTTTGCCTGAACAAGCGATTTAAAGATCATGAGTGTGAAGAATGGAATACAGTGGAGTACGGTATGCTATAACGAATGGATTCTACTACGAATATTCCTATAACGAACAGTTTTACCTATAAAATTGAGAATGCTATAACGAACGAAACTCCTACAACCGTTCGTTATAAGAATATTTGTAGAAAATTTTTTAAACAATACAACAGCTGTTTCAAGAATGACGACTCCAGCTACCTTCACTGACCCACATCATTAAGGTAATTTGTAGGGAATTTTGAGGTTTTTGTTTTTGTACCTGCCCTTTAAGACGACCCCTGGTTTTGGGGTGATTTTTTGATGATTCAAGTGTCGTTTTATCCACTGAATTATACGGTATATGTGTATATCTATATACAGCCTGTACACAAAAACAAATTATACGGTATACGTATTTGTATATCTATATACACAAAAACAAACAAACAATACCTCACTAGTCAGGAATCGAACCCTGGACCTCTACGTGTAAACAGGGATCACTACCACCATGCCACAAGGACAACAAAAAGAATCCTAGGCTTTGTTTTATTTCATACACAGCCTGTTAATTCGCCTTTGTTAAGCAACGTGAACTTCCACTGGGGATTGCCCATGCCAACTATGTGGTCGGAGTAGCATTTTACCGAATCCAGCTAGGAAACACTTCCATATACTGTACAAACAATACTTCACTAGTTGGGAATCGAACCCTGGACCTCTGCGTGTGAACAGGGATCGCTACCACTGCGCCACAAAGACAACAAAAGATATATATGTAGCCTCATGTTTCCTAACTGGATTCGGTAAAATGCTACTCCGATCACATAGTTGGCACAAGCAATCCCCAATGGAGGTTCACTTTGCTTAACAAAGACTAATGAAAAGTAAAAAAGTTTTAAATATACACATTCATACTTTGTTGGGATCTATACGCTATATGGCTGAATGATATTTCCTGCAATTAAAATGTTGGCCCTAATAAAAGGCAGCTATGCGGGAAAGCTCAATTTAATTACCAAAGCACGATAATAATTCAATATTTCAATAAAATTTACATTACTATAATATGAATTCTTCTTGAATAAAATTACATTCTAATGACAAAAACTTTCAACCCAGTATAAGTTGAAAGCATTAAAGCTATCACAGTCTCCACAAAGAAGAATACTTCAATATCATTCCAAGTGTCAAACTCGACAATTTCTGAAGTTTACTTGAATTGTTCCATCTTTTCTTGGCTGGACATAGGCAAACTTCTTCTCAGCAACTTGTCTGTAAAAAAAGTTTAGTGTGAGACTATTTCATACCAACTCTACCATTTCCTTAAACTTTCAGAAAATGGCATTGAACTTGAAATCCCATTTCATAATCATGTAAGGATTGAGGAACTCTGTATAGCTAGTAAGTTTTGGGGGGTTGATTACCCAGGCTCATGAGAACAATCTTGTGTGACAGAATCTAAAAATCAAATGGAAGCCCTACCATGAAGGTACCCCAAAGAGCAAGAAGGCTGAATAGTTTTGAAGGTAAGCATCAACAACAAAATTCTTAGTACTGTAACTACAAATGACCAGATATTAGAGGCAGCTACTGATGGTGGTACAGCGGTAACGTGTGTGTCTCTCATCAATATTTTAAGAGTTCAAATCCTGCTTGACCCAGACACATGTGAGAAGGGTGTTAACCAGTGTGACCCTACCCAACAGCACAGGTTTCCCTGAGTCCAGTTTCCTCCTGTACTAACACTGGACAGATCAACTGCCCGAATGGCTAGTAAGCTGATAAGCAGTGAAAAAAAAAAAAATCAAAACTGCAATTGCTATATTTTGTGATACTAAACTTATAACCAATTTTACGAGGTAACTCAATAAAATAGCATGATTAAAGCCTAAAGATCATTAAAATAATAAATGCTACACACCTGATGGACATTTAACTCTTGAAACCCACAACAAAATATTTTAAAAACATAAATTAAAACAAGTTTTTACATATTTGGTATTTGTTGTCATTTATATATTTATATAGATGTATTTAAATACCATTATATAACAATAATACAGAAATATGGAAATTTTATTGAAAATTTCCCTTTGTGGATATTTAATGATTTTTTTTATATTAGGTTAATTAGGTACAGTTGGAGAAATGTATTCCTACTCCCTGTGGTAACCCGAGTCTCCAAACAGCAACGTTGCAGTAGTAGTATCACTATTTATGAATGAATGGGTATTGGTAATGTAATGACAGACATGATTGGTAGATAGGGTTGCTATAGGTCTTAAATACCGGTATTAGCTGTCGAGTTACCACAGGGGGTGTAGGAACACATTTCTGCAATTGTACATTCCAGACAAAGGCTTCTATGCCTGTACCTCCAGGTCTTCATCTGTTTGGGCTCTTAGGGTCAGTGATACCTTATTCACACCAAAAAGTGTTCTACAATTACATATATTTGGCTGCAAAATGTGATGATAATTAATGATGTGCACACACACTCCAAAAAACATATTTTTGGAGGGGTCTGATGCATTTCAAAATGAACACTGTGACTCCTGTGGTGTCGGTAGGGTTGTCAAAATCCATCATCCGTTGCGTCATATTATCTAACACTAAATCGTAGATATTTTTGGAAGCATGTGTGCATAACTAAAATTTCGGGTTCATGGTCTCAAGTTCCACTTTGCCCATAATATTAGTCACCTATTAGCATGCAAGAAGATTAAGTTTGCTTCCCTGTCAGTCCCAAGGATACAGTATATTAATTTGAGAGATTCTACAGTAAGAAGAAAAGTTTACTGGTAAGAACATTTTCCTTACTTTTAATTGCTCTAAAACTAGATATTGCTCACAGAGCAGAAATAATATACTGTACCAGTACTGTACAGTATTACTGTACCTCTCTATCCCAAACTTCTATATAACTCAACCTAAGCATTGAGAGAAAAATCAACCTTACCTATTATTGAATGGACAGACTTGTAAATGGTTAGCCATGTGAGTTTCATCCTTAAAACCCCAGTGGTTAACATGTTCAAAAGACTTGCTAAAGAAACGGCGCTGCAACAAAAAATTGGTAATTAATCTAACACACAATAAACAAATTTATTATACAGTATATACAATAATCACAAAAATTAAAAATAAGATTTAATTCCTATTACAAATGGGTCAATGAAGTAAAATGGAGGACTGACCGTGAAATACCATTTTACACCTCAGTCAAGATAAAGTGATTTGTGTAATATCCCACCAAAATTATGGGCTCTATGTGCTGAAAACTCAGGAAACTCCTTAACAACGGGTGAGATTAATTTAGTGATAAATGATTATTGTAACCAGACATTTAATATATAAGGCGTTTATTGTAAGCCGTTTTAAGAAGCACGGAATAGCGAACTCGTTAGCTATTCCGGACTGTCATTAAAAAATACAACATTGTACCACATCTTGGGAATAACTGTTGTACAACACAGTCTTCAGAAAACATTAAAATTAGAAGAACTGTTATTTGGACACAATATGGAAATAAATAGTGAAGAAAATATATAGAAAATTGTGGAAAGAAAGACAAAAAAGGAAAAAAGTCAGTCAACAATAAATAAGAATAAAAAAAAATCGGGCCCATTGTAAAGGTTGGTGGTCCAGACTCTGGGGTGGGAGCTTTAAACCACACTACGAATGCTCTCGTCAAGGTGCTACATTGTTTATAGGTGTTCGCATACATAAACACACAATATGACGAATTTCAAATTCGTTATGTCTTAATTTTTGCACTTACAGAACTGTAATAAACTTTTCACCCTTATTTAAAGTACAGTGGTCCCTCGGTTAACAAACACAATTCGTTCCAGAGGGTCGTTCGTTAACCGAATCCATTGTTTCAATGGAATATTGGGTAATTGGTTCCAGCTCACCAAAAAGTACATACAAAGTAAAAAAAAAATGCAGTAAAGTACACTTGTTTTGAGGTGTGTATGTAGAAGGTTCCTGGTTGATGATGATGATGATGATGATGATGATGGGAATTAGAAGGGGGGTGGAGGAGAAGGGAGATGAGAAGGAAGTGGGGATGGAGGAGAAATCACCTTTCAGGGGACCCATGCTTGATGCCGTCATTTCACCAATAAAATTTTAAGTTCACTAGGTGTAATTCAAGATTATTTTATTTAAATCAACACTGCACTGCACTATATATTATCAATATGTTAACTAAATTTCAGAATGACCAATAATTTCAATGTAAAAATGCAAAAATAATCAAGACACCAACAAAATAGATGTTCACTCCACTGTCAACAAAGCCCAACTGACGCCTGGTGGCTGAGTCAAGCGTCTGATGGGCGCACAAAAAACTAGTTCCCTGTACTGCATATATTATCAATATGTTAAATAAATGTTAAAATAACTAATAATTTTAATATAAAAAATGCAAAAATATTAAAGAGCACAACTTTCTTGATATTTACTCCACTGGAAACGAATGTAAACATAGAACAGATTACTGAATTGGCAGACTAGCCCATCAGCTGATCAGCTGATGCTCACAACAAAACGTGATGTTCATAAGGGTTTCGTTAATCGAAGTTTTATTCGTTAACCGAATTGAAGATCCTTATGGGAGGTAATTCGTTAACCGAAATTTGGTTAATCGAACCATTCGTTAACCGAGGAACAACTGTATCTTATGAGTAAAGATATTAAAGTTTTAATCACAATTGAGTAATTATCAATATTGTTACACCAAAGTCACCAACGGCTAATGAAATCAGACAACACCCATGTAAAAAGGGCGGAGCCTAAACAGGTTTTAACTTGGTGCAATCCTTTTCAATTCTTTCATGCCATACGCTTTGTTTTAGGTCCTATCCAATATACTCCCATATATAGAATTATTTATATTATCATATCAGTCTTTTATTGCATTAAATACCTCCAACTCATCAATATTAATCAAAATATTCTCCATAAACGGCCATGATCCACGTTATTTTCACCGGGAGAAATTGCTGATTGGTTGTTACCTATTTGTGCCGCTTGGGCCCTGCGAAAGACTAACGCTTCATCGAGGTGTTAGCTAAAGTGTCATGCGCACAAATCAAAAGCAACGTCTGTGCATACAGAATAGCTAGTGCGTTAACTATTCCGTGCACCAAAAACACTTTACAATAACTGCTATTTTTTTTATTAATATTATTGTATTTATTGTTTCACCAATAATCAGTTAATTTACTAGCTAATTGGGTGGTTGGTCTGTTCTATGTTAATTTGTTATGACCTTTATATTCCAGTGTTAATACAGGATGAAACCAGAGTACCCATAGAATACCTGCAATGTTTAGTTGTATCACACTTGATAAAATACTTCTCACACCTGTCCTGGGCCAGGGATTGAACCCAGAACACTGTCGTGAAAGATACATGCCTTACCGCTGTGTATCTGTGTATCATCACATACAGTATAGGCCACTACTGTTCTATTTTTACTAACTTATCCAAACATTGAAAGCTTCTGGTTCCACCTCCAAACAGTACAGCTGCAACAAGCACTATTCATGTAGTCTTCTAACATCTCCAAATTTCTTCCCATACAAGATTCTATTTTCAACCATTGCTTTCACTCTTATTAATTTTTTTAAACTCTTGTTGGATTACATATATGAATATCATAATATATCTAGTTCATCTCTATTCAAACTTACATGAAATTTATGTTGTCCATCTCCTTTCAAGTAGAGCATTAAAATTTTGCTCTTTCATCCATTTTAAAGAGTTTCCTCCTTCACTCTTCATCATAATAACCAACAGTACCTGACACTTCATCATAGTAACCAATAGTACTTGACCTGGTTCATACAACATCTGCATATAACAACTCTGATAGCCTCCATTCTATGCAACCATGATTTGGTCTCACCAGTTACCCATTTTCACAGTCACATAATGCACTACCCAGGACATTAACAAGCTGAACAGCCAAGACAAACGTCCAAATTTACATTACAGTAATCCATCGCCAACTGCGGGGGTTATGTTCCTGAAAAACCACGTGGTTAAACCCGAGGCTGACTTATGGGGAAATAGGGGGCTAAGTTCCATGGCTGCAGATAACAATTGTCAAAGCCTAACTAAGTTGCCTGTTCCTTCACTAAACAATGCCTATATTGCACATTAATTAAATTTCAGATGGCATGTTGCTATATAATAAGAAAAATAAAGAGCATGGGCGTGTATGTGTGTGTGAACTTGGCAGGTCGCCAAGTTAGGCTGTCCTTGTAGCTACATCCCCCTAGCTCTCCCTCTACCAGGCCAATTTGTGTTATTGTTATATTTTAACTCGTATTTTTGTGTAGATATACTTAAATTTATTAATCTTATTCTACTGTTACATGCACATACAATTGTTCTTACAGAGAAATACATTAGAATTTGGAGGGATAAAAACATCATACTATTCCGTGGATACTCAAAATTCAATGCCATGGTTGGTGAAATGGTATACTGTACGTACAGAGTAAAAAACGTGGATTCCTGGAATCCGCGGGTGGCGAGGGTCTACTGTACAGCATTTACTCTAGCATAATTCACTCACACATGCACTACTTCCTCATTAGAAAACTATGCCACATTCTTTTCACTAACTACATATTTTTAACTATATTGCTTACTTACAAATTCCAGCTATTTACTTTACCTCCTTTAATTAGCAAAATATAGACTCACCTTCTTGCCTTCTCTCCATCTTACTCTACCATTCTCTAAGTACCGAACCCATTCTTTAATAACAAGGCCTCTTTCGTTGAGTAGTGAGAGGCAAATATCCCTCATTAATCGGCAGGTTAATGAAAGGTTGTTGATGCTGAAACCAATTAAGAGGGAAGAATTAGATTTCAACTTAATTTTCAAACAATAAATTTTGTATGACAAGTACAGTGTATCTCAATCTTTCAAAACTAATATCTTCCACTGATAAGAATCCCCCAACCAGAGCTAATATTTCAGAAATATCTTAACCAAGGATATACAGTATAATCAATAAATATAATAATTCTAAATGGTCACATATTTATATTCTTTGTTCCTAACAAATGAATAATACATTCTGAATGTGCATAATGCAAATAACTAGTGGTACTTTCATACTAGTTTTTAATCCACAGTGAAAAGTAAAAAAAAAAATTACAGCTATACAATTCGTTTGAATAATATACTGTACTGCAATTAATAAAATAATTATAATCTTCTCTTACTTCCAATGGTTCTCTTCTTTATGAAACTCACCTGAGGGGGCAGTCATGGCAGAAATGTCTATATATCTACATACTATATTACAAATGGTAAAAAAATTATTAAATACAGTAGAACATCGATATAACGCGAGATAAGTTCCAAGAAAGGTCGCTTTAAACCGAATTTGCACTAAATCAAAGTGTTGTTTCAATAAAATAATTTAGTTTGGTACATGAGAGAAACACAAAATACTAAAAAGACTGAGTCTACCCAGATGCACCTCAGCCCATCTCCTAGAATAAACAAAACATTGTTTTTTGTAGTATTATGTTTAAAGAAACACTCATAAATCAACACAGCTAAAATTAAGGGATGCAAAATGGTCTGTTTACTGGCTGGGAAGATGGAGGAGGGAGGGAGGGAGGGAGGGAGGTGAGGTGATATGTTTGACAGTTGATCCAAGGACTAGTGCTTATTTATTTATCTGTCATTAAGAGTGACTAAGTTTTTCTCTTATAAAATGTCACTAAACTGACCTGGGAGAATATAAATAAGATTGCTGGAATTCTTAAAAGATAGTGATTAGTTTGAATATAAACATGCTATAGTTCACATTAATCATACAGATTTTAGTTCCAACTAATTTTCTTGAAGGGCTAAAATTTTTATCTCTTGTACAAAATACAGTAAAGCCTCCGATAATAGCGGTCCAACCAACAACTCTTCATATTTAAAACCCTAGTTAATTTAGGACCCAATTCAATTTACGTCCTTATTTCATTTGTATTTACGACCAAAATATAATACAAATAAAATAAAATTACATTTTCATATAAATACTAATTAAATCCTGTTATGTATTGTAAAACGAAAATTAAGAGATCCTTGTGCAAAGAAGCTGCCTTGCTAATGAGTGGTAAACAACAGTCAGAGCTTCGCGGGCCTTTTGTTTTCACGCATCTGGAACATGAACAGGATAAAAACTTTCTCAGATTTCTTACAGCATTTTTGCATCCCTATTCAACATGAGCAAGAGAGCAAGTGATGGTAGTGTTGTTTCAAAAGCTAATAGAAAGTGTATAAGCTTAGCCGAGAAACTAGATGTGTTAAAACGATATGAAAAAGGTGAGAGGTCTGTGGATATTATATGGAGCAACCAATGAACATATTTTCTGAAGTGGATCCATTAATAGAACAAAGCATTAAAATTTAAATAAATGCAAATGACCTCTACATAAAGATATATAATGAGAAAAGAAAGCAGCTGTGCAAGTTTCTTTCGACAGCTTTATTATTCGAAGGCCTAAACCATGAACTTCAGCTACACCATCATAAGCAGCTTCAACATCAACTTCAGGTTCAGTAACAGTTTCAGTAACAGCTTTACGGAAAGCGACAGCTTCAGCCAGAGTTAGACCTGATGACTTCGTCATCTGAGTAAAAACTCGCACAATATTCATTGGCTGTCCTTATGTTTTAGACTTTACCACCATTGGTGAGTAGAATTTTTATTTTACATTCATATATATTTCTTAAAATATATATGAACAGTAAATAAGCGTTGCTTTCATATTCATATGTAGAGAAATGACGATATGTTTTCACATGTACGCACTTACTGTTCATATGTTGGCGTTCCCAATTGTCTTGCTTTATTTCTTTACCATTATTGGTTAGCTACTTCGAGTGTTCCATTTATTAACATTAAATAGAATTACTTAAAACATACATACAGGTATTAATTTTTTTTAAATTAAGTTCACTACAACTACAACCAGGGTCTTATTTTCTTTAGTTTCAGGTGGATGACTGACATTATGGGTGTAAACACTGACAACAATGCCGTTTCTTATCCTCTTGTGTGTTTTAATATTCTACGTATTATTAATGAATTGCATTGTTCGTTTCACATATAGAAACATTAATTCAATCAAATACATATTCAGTAATATCAGTCTCACACAATATTCTACATAGAATTAATTTCGATATCAATCAAATAAATATTCAGTAATAAACAATAATGAATCTTTTGTACATATTCTTAAAAAGATAAATGTCGCTGTATCCTTAAATGTGCAAGTATACTGTATGTTGGCGTTCCCAATCCATCTCTTTTTTTTTTCTTTGCCATTAATGGTTAGCTACTCCTATTGTTCCATTTATTAACATTAAATAACGTTACTTAAAACATATACAGCTCCTCCCCGACTTACGACGGGGTTAGGGACCCAAATCCAGGTCGTAAGTTGAAATGGTCGTAAGTCAAAAATGCTTAAATAATACATAGAAAATCTAAAATGGGTGTCTCTTTTTCTTCTCAGCACCACAAAACTCTCACTTTTAAGATTGCCAGCCATTTTAAAGTGAATTACAAACAAAAATTTTGTCAGTACACAGCGCAATCACTGACGTTGGGACTCGAAAATACATAATTTGACAAAATTTTCGTACGACTAAGGCAGTAGTATGTCCAGGTGGTCATAAGTCGAGTAGGTCATAAGTCGGGGACGAGCTGTATATTAAATTTTTTACATTAATTTTACTACAGCTACAACCAGGGTCTTATTTTCTTAATGTTCTCGTGTAGAACTATCGTCCCGGACTCGCGGCTGTAAACACAAATGAAAACAATGGCGTCCCATCTCCTCTTGTGTGACCATATTATTATTCATTTATATTCTATAAGGTGCATTCAGAAACATTATTTTAAGAATATAGTTTGCAATTTTCATTAATTGTATTGTTTTGGGGGAAAAGAAGGGTAAAAAGCCATACAAAAGATATGAAAATGTCACACTTGAGAATGCATCTCATTATCATTGCTTTATTTTAATGGTAATTAATGATTTGCGATACGATGATACACCTTACACTGCAATATTGGAGGACACATTAACGTCGTTATTTGAGGCTTTACTGTATATGACATTTATATTCAAATTATTCGCTGTTTTGCAAGGATTCTAGCAATGCAAATTATATTCTCCTAACTTTAGTCTGTGACAATATATAAGATAAAAAGTTTGAGCCTATAACCACCCAACCCTGGCTGGGAAGATGGGGGGAGGAGGGAGGTGACAGTGACACGTTTGGTAGTTGGGGTCGAAGGTCTAGTGAAGCATTTATTTGTTTATTTATGTCCTTTAGATTGATTTTTTTTTTTTTAATAAACTGTCACAGAAGTGACCAGGGAGAATATAATTAACATTGCTGGAATTCTTATAAGTGATTAATTTTAATATAATCATGTTATAGTTTGCACTAGACAAAATTTTAGTGATCATTTAGTACATTATTTTGAGTATATGTACAGTACAGCTTTGCCCTTAGGACAGTGTAGCATGCCCAGAGAAACATTAGGCGCAAATTTTAAAATATGATGCGCCAGATTGACTCGTGCAAAATAGGAAAGATTCGCTTGAAATTAAAACATTATCCTTAATTGTGGGTGTTGCTTTAAATCAATAATCTTAAATTGAATTGCTTTAAATCGACGTTCTACTGTAATGTTAAAGAAAAAAATATAAAAAGATGTAGAAAAACAATTTTGTGATGATAAAGAACAAAAAATTGGAAAAATTCAGTATATCACCTGAAGCCATCTAAATATCTAGCAATATTCTGCAGTACTTCAATGGGTAAAAATGTTAGGTTAGTGCTGGAGGCATAATACTGCTCAGCTGTTTCGTAGATGCCAGTGCGGCAGTTTTCTGGGATGGATGTCATTGTTTTCTGTGCAGATGTGAGACGCATCTGACTGAATGAGCTGGTAGTTTTTTCAACACTTGGTGAACGTGATCTTGGGAGGCCACCTAAGTATATAAAACATTAATTTACACAATAACTGATAGAATAATCAATTTCTTATTAAAAAACATGCATATTATTATTTATAATGTAAAAAAGAAAAATATAACACAGAAAAAGGGGTTAGAACTTGAAATCCCTTTCTATATGTGAACTGGGACTAAACAACTCCTCATAGCCAGACAAGTCTAATGGATGAAAGCCTGGGCACCAAGACTCAATTTGCTGACCAAAATCTAAAATTTTAAGAAATTTGGAAATCAAAATAGTGCTTACCTTCATATCAGATTCCAAAGGAGATAGTTGGCACTCAGAAAACCCACAACAGAGAAGGATGTAAGAGTGCTTTGCCAAGCATAAACATGTTTACTTCAATCCATTTTTAAGTAGGTTACCAAATACTGTATCTCATTTTTAGCTCACATCAAGAACCCAATATAGAGAAGGGAAGGAAGCAGAGTTGCTCAATCATGGCTTTGTTATAAAATGGGATTTCAAGATCAATCCTCCAATTTTAACCATTGCTGTAATTGAGCTACTCAGAGTGCTAAAGTCGGCTAAAATGAAGGACTCATACTGAAAATCTGTTTAAGTACAAAATCAGGTCATGAATATGTACATCTAGACTTTTTAGATTATTTTCCAGTAAACCCATAGACCAAGGACACTAGTGTTTATCTAAAATTCACTCATTTCCCCACAATAATCAACACTACATGAGAGATAAGAGATCACAGGTTGCTTTAGATGAGAGATAAAAGATCAGTTTACATTAAGAATTAGGAATGTGAGATGTGAATTTGTGTCACTCATTCTTTCTGTTGAACAAATCGTCCCTCATTTGACAATGTTGTAAATCAGATTCACACACTAACAACCCCTTAACCACAACCAAACTCTGATGAACACACAAGGAGAGAGGAACTATGTGGGTCACTCCTCACTGGTTCTATGATAAAAGGGGTTTTCAGGATCAAACCCTTATTTACATGACAGTGGGTCAAGCTAGATCATGAATCAGAAGTCAACTATCAAATAGGGAGGAAATGGTAGTTTGTTTCCTATATAAAAATAAGGAAACAGACACTCACCTTACAAACTCCCCATTGCCTACATAGAATTCTAGTGTTGTAATAAGCTACATGAATGAATTCCTAGCACTCAGGAAGATGCCTCGTGATGAAGGGACATGAAGATCCCCAGCAAGGTAGCTTTGCAGAACAAGTCCTGAAAAGTTAAAAAAGTGCCAGTTGTTGTAGAGTATACCAACCATGAAATTTGGGTTTCTACATTCAGAACTGCTATCATCAACTGACCCCCCCTCGAACTAGATAACCAGCACATACAAAACATCCACACACATTCCTTGTAAAATTAAGGACAGGGGTGTAAGACCAACGCCCGTATTATTAAACAACATCTTCCCTTGAAGAGGGTCGTCGTGTTTCAACCCGAATTTTAAGCTAAATGAGTAGTGACGGACACTGCAGTACTGTACTGTACTTAACGGGTTGGTGTGGCGGTAAAATTAACAAATTCCAATATTATAAATTTGTAATATTTGAAATAGTTAATTTTACCGCCACACCAACCCGTTAAGTACTACACTGCGGGTTGAAAAACGACGACCCTCTTCAAGGGAAGATGTTGTTTAATAATACAGGTGCAAGCCCCTTCCCCCTCTCTGACTCAATGTCAGAAATGGCATCAGAAAAAGTTTCAAATAAAGCTGATTCAGAGCGGAAAAATCACTCTGTTAGGCCAAAAAGGAACCACTCGTGTAAAGATACCTCAGACCTACTTTAGCTTTAAGATCACTTGCAGCATCCAGAGAAAGGGTGGACACAGATGAATCTGATCCCAGCTATTCCAGTACCTAGTGTTAAGGAAGCTTTTTTTATTGTGAACAACTTTGAAGGTCAATTGGTTCTTAACCTAGATGTATCTTCTTCTTAGCTAGCTCCCCTCCACCCTCCCTTTTGTCCAAAAACAGACTAAATGAATTTAGAGAAAAACACTAACTCCAAAGGAAAAAAAAAGAAAAGAAAAAATCCCATTAAACTCGACACAAATCTTCAAACACAAGGATCAAGTAGGGCACCTTACCTAATCCTGAACTCATAAAAACTCTCTGATCACAGTCTCTTAATCCAAGCTGATGACAGAATCCCCCTACACTCACATCCAGCTACAAAGGACCAAGTCCACCCAAATCTAAGAACTCAAATATAAAAGTAGAGGCACTTAGTTACCAACAAGTGTGCAGCATGTGAGCAAGTGAGCATCCATCCAGGTGCTCAGGTGACAGGAAACTGAGCATTGACCTAAATAAAAGTGGATCACGATACAGTATACGTGTTTATGCGAGGCAACAAACCCTCAGACGTCTTCCTTTTGGACACCTTCATGCGAAGTGTTCAATTGAGAAGGAAGTGGCTATTTAGCTGGGAATTCCTAACTGGGCAGACTGGAGGCTATGTAGCCAGGAAACCAATCGTGATGAGCTGTTGTGGTCAGTGATTGTATTCTCAGCTAATTCAACTACCATTCTCGCATTACACCATAGGTAAAAATGTATTGAAAGGATTAATCTAATTTTAAGTTAATGTCATTTATGAATTGAAACGCCCTGTGAAAGTTGTGTAATGCTGGAAACCTATGACTTCACTCTTGACCTCTTCTAACAGCCAGGTATCTCTGTTAAATTCAAATATAAAACATTTTTTCCCACGTGACCTCATGTTCCTTGGTGGACAGGTCAGAGAACCTGCAGACCTTGGCTTATGAGCTGGATATTATATAGATATACTGTACTGTACTCTGTAAATCTCCCTCTATACAGTGCCTGTACTTAGTTTGGTTGAATTGTGCATACTGTATTTGTGTATAGATGTAAAGTTTGATACATAGCAAGATGCTGAGAATTTAACCCCTTGTGTATGGGGTCCGCTGTGTACTGAATAAAATCCTCTGGCATTAGCTAAATACATTTTACTGATATACATCATTTCACATATAGGAAGAAATTTTCATTATACTGTACATCATCTGCATCATAAGAACATGAGAATGGAGGAAACTGCAGCGGGCCTACTGGCCCATACTGGGCAGTCCCATTTACACCCAACCCCTATCGCTCATATATCCACCCAACCTATGTTTGAAGCTATCCAGCGTATTTGAGTTAATGATGATGTTTGGTAACTTGTTCCATTCATCCACTACTCTATTTCCAAACCAATGTTTACCTATTTTGCGCCTAAATCTAAATTTTTATAATTTCAAACCATTGTTACGAGTTCGCTCCCGGTTGGATAGTTTGAGTGCCTTTGTAATATCACCTCGATCATATCGCCCCTTACTCTGTGTCTCTCAAGGGAGTGCAAATTAAGATGCTTTAACCTGTCTCTGTACTCAAGGTTCCTAATGCCTGGGATTAGTCTTGTCATTCTCCTCTGAATTCTTTCTAGGGATTCTATATCCATTCTGTAGTATGGTGACCAGAATTGAACTGCGTAATCCAAGTGAGGTCTCACAAGCGCAAGATATAGTTTTAGGATGACCTCGCTAGTCTTGTAACTAACACTCCTTTGTATGAACCCAAGTACTTTGTTAGCCTGTTTTAGACTAGGTCTGTGTATATTTCAATGATACATAAATTGTGTTTAAAACATCTAGTATAATGTAAAACTAACTATAATAAGTAATAAAAGTGTCTTACAAGTGTTAAGTTTCTACCACATCAATATACATCAGTCATGCCTGACACAACGGCCAGCTGATGCCATTGTTATCCATTGTTATCTGTAAGGAGCCACAGACTTTGCAGAAAAGTCATCTCAATGTGCTAGTGTGCCTTATGAATAAAGACAATACTATAGACTGTACAGTAATATAAAGATATAAAAGAAAAATTAAGAGAATAGGAATATATTCTGTGTGGAAGATGGAGTTTATCTGAGAGCAACAGATGGTTTGGTAACCCACCATGACTCGCCGGACTACTATATGCCTCACCGTGGACATTTAAATGTTCCAACACCAAAAAATAAAAGTTTAGATAACTATATTCTGTTCTTATACAATGGGGGGTTTGTATGTAAAGAAATCGAGTGAAAAATATTTATAAATCTACCTTAGTTTAGTCTTGGTGAAGGAGGGAAAGATTATTATGGTGGCCTGGGTGTGTAGCCATGGAGAAAAGATGGAGGGTGGCAGGGGAAGAAGGAGGGAGTGCTGGCTGAACTGAGAGGAAAACTTTCTCCTGCGATCATCAGCCCAAGATCCTTTTATAATAACAGCATGAAATTTCACCTAAATTCCCGTATTATTTAGGTTCCATTGGTACCTGGTTAATAAAACATTATTGTAAAATAATAAATTCTCCCCCAAAAAAAAAAAATACCACACTCAACCCCAGATGAGATATTGCATCATATTATATTCCTGGTTTCTTGTTTACAGAGGTGGAACAGTATTGTTTTTGCCCTCCCTAACAATACTGACAGCACACATCATCTCTCAAGTACCACTGTTGTCACTGCTCAAGAGGGTTGTTTACCACAGGATCTATCTTCAGCACTTAGTAAATAATATTGTAGTGTATTTATGAGAATTTCATAAATATTATTGTAGTGTATAATGCATCTCCACATGCCCTGGTTTTATTCATTGATCAGTTGTATAAGTGTACAAGTAGCAAAACTGAGCCATCCTGTATCTCTCAAAGTAATAAATAATGTTGTTTGGAACGTATCTCCATATAAAATACTATACAGTATGTTCAAATGATACCATTATAAACTGATTAGCTGAAAGTTCTTTCTTCAGGAACACATCCTGAGCTTTAAAGGGTACTTGCCAATACTTGCCATCAGTGCATAACAGAGACATGATGGACTGCCCAAGTGGCTAACGAGATGATCAGTGGCAAAAAGAATAAAAGTAAAAGCAAGTAAAGTACAGTATTACTGTACATGTTGGAATGCATATACACACAGTACGTACCCCTAATTGCATTAATTCTTAAGGGAAAAATTCCTCATTTTACTGTAAAATTTTTCACTAAAAGTCACGTTTCTCTGGAACACATCCCCAATATATAACGAGGATGCCCTGTATTAAAAGCAGTGTCCCCATGGTGAAGGGATTAAAATTAAGATAACTTAAATTTATATAAATTCTTTCAATACATTATTTTTATAGTAAGATATATATACAGTATAGTAAATACAGTACCTACAGTGTAATGTTAGAATGGCACATGACTTAGCCGAGAATACTATCACCGAGCATACCAGCTCATCACGATTGGTTTCCCAGTTATGTAGCCTCCAGTCTTCCAATTCATAATCCTGAATGAAAGTGAAGGATAAATTAATTTTCCAATATGAAGTATTACCTTTTTAGACTCCAGGCCACAAGTTGGGTCCTGGAACTAAGAAGTTTCAATACTTAGGCATGTCTTGTTATAAATAGTTGTTCAATCCCAATGAAAAGTCATAAAAAATAAAACCATGTACATAACTTCAATATTTAATAAAAATTAAGGTGCACCAATATACCTACCACACGACGCTGGCTCATAGTCAAGTTTTGGTCGGATGCCAAAAGCATTAAGACTGTGACAATAAACCACATCACCGCCCTATTAGAGGAAAATATGTTGTGTCAGCAAATTCATGAATGCACTGTACCTTGAATTGCACTTTATTCACTCATTACAGACATAAAAAGCAGATATACAGAAAACTTTTGAAAAATGAAAATTTATTTAGTCAGTTAAAACTAGAATGGCTGGCTACTCTTATACCCCTAGAATGACTGTCATGGTCAGTTTTACCATTTCACAGAGAAAATAAAGTATTCACTGACATATTTATAAATAAATTAAAAAATATATATATCTTAAAATGTGTACTATACATATTTACACTGCCATTTATTGTATCATCTTTTATTGTAGTTTCTTTGCAAAAGATTTTTTATGATTACCAAAGAAAATTGTAAAAGAGCATTTTCAGTGATTTATGTGGATGCCGAACTGGATAAAAATTTATCCCACTGAACCCCGTCATAATGACTCCAATTTACAATATTTTGACCTATGACGAGTCATTCAGAAACGTAACCCCATCGTAAGAACTAACAAAGGTTTTACTCATCTTTAAATAACTGTACAGGCAGAACCAGAGTTACTAAGATGTGATTTAAAGAAATTCACATTTATCATAAATTTTTTTTGTCCCATACATTGATTTACGAGAGAAACCCAGAATTTACGAGGAAAAAAAATTAATCACAAGCAAAAGCACAAGACCTTTAATGAGACAGATTTACTTTTGTATATACTGTATACTAAGTGTTGACACAGGAAGGCTACTGCATAGTCAGTGACACCAAATCTGTGGGATGCTTGGTCAATTGGAGCCAACAGGCTGTGATGTATTCTTTAATTTCGTGCAATTTTCTTCACCTTTAAACAGTTTTCTTTATTTTTCCATGCTGTACCATAAAGTTGGACATTTCTTACAAGCTTTATAAACAAATAAACCATTTAAGCACTGTTTAATGAAATTTTCACACCAAATATTGTATCTGTAGGACACTCGGTCAACTGAAGCAGCAAGCTGTGATGTACAGGGGGGTATTCTTTGGTATGATGAAAAAAAATCTACATTTGACTTTATTTTTCCATTGTGTACTAAAAAACTAGACCACTGCATATTTATTGCTTGTGTTGAGTAAGTAAATAATTATTTTAAATGATGTATTGAATTGTACATCTTTTGTGAATGTTACCAGTCCCTACCTCATGAAATAATCCGAACCTATTGTATTTTGTTTACTCAACAGAATAAAAACCACCATTCTGTATCACTATGTACAATTGCCTGCAAGAGTAATGTTTCAACCCTTGGTGGTGATTCTGTACATGTGACATCACGTTGATGAATGACAAGAGTTTCCTACAACAATTACAACAGTGATTTGTTTATAATAGGGATAACTAATGTTACTCATGTATGGAAGTATAGTAAATAGTATCTAAGTAATTCTCTCTACACACATCAATTCATGTAAACTGACCTTGTGTCCTGGATGAAGCCGCTTAGATATGTAAGGACAACCAAACACATGCAGGGGACACCTGGAGATAAGCCACCCATCAAATCCTTCCTGTATTTCACTATGAACATTCTGATAGTGACTGCTAAACTCGGAGCGTCGTACCTCCTGAAGAGATTAAAAAAAAGGTTCAGGTGAAAGATTGACCCTGATATACCATTTTATGGCCAAGTCAGGGACTAGGCAATCAAATCAAGTATTTTGTGTTTGTGTTCACTAGGACCCACAACACCAAATATTTGTAGCTGGGACAAATCTGCTGCAACTAAAGCCCCTAAAGCCCTAAAATTGGACCTTTGAAAACAAATGCTTTTACCTCATGGACAGTAAAGAGACAAGGCATGTAATGACACTGATGCAAGTGTGCACCTTGCCCTTCTGCATCAACCATAGTGGTCTTCCAAGCTTTACAGTACTCTCTATTCATTTTTGGAAGATTTCCTCTCCAATCCATAGGAAGAAAGTTGTTTTCCAATCTGCCTAGTTCTTGGTTCTGCCATAAAATGGGAATACAGGATCAATCTTTCCTTTATGCTCAAACATCCTTTATTAGGCATCTCAAGGATCTGAATTCAGCAGCTAGTGGAAGATGGTACTAAATTATTTTACAGCCAATATGATTTTTACAGCCAATATGATTTTTACACCCCTAAAGGAACATTATCCCTGCTTTTAAACAATTTATAGAGAGGGATAAGACAACCTTAAAATTTACCAATGTTATACAGTTCACCTGTGTAGTTCCAAGTCGAACAAAAGGTTCACAAATGTAAAACCTACGGACCATAGTTGGTATTTATAACATTTCTAGGTGCACTTAATCACTAACAATTCCTGAATGTCACTCCTAAATTGGAGAAAAATTCTAAGACTGACTTATAACGCCTCTTGGGTCTTAAGAGTTCCGCTTAGCAGATGAAAAACTTAGGATTCCTCGACAAGAACTTTTAGCGAATTTAGAGTTCTTAGAAATCAAGATGGCTGAAGGTCAACAAGGTTGAGTGTGCCTGCTGAGAACTTTTCATTCCCAATAAGACACTCTTAACACTTTTAAAGACTCAGAACTAATTCAAGGATAAAGACTAGATCATGCAGAAATATTGTTTATTGTAAATTTGGTGAGAAGGATCTTGGAAAGTCCTACTAGGAGTGCCTTTGCCCTGATAATATCTTTATGATATTCAGCCACAAAAAAATGCAGTTATGGAACAGCAATGACTTTGGACCATCACAGCCTAACATTGTAAAGCAAAATGCTGAATGAAAAGGTTTATATTACCTAAGAATGCAATATCATGGCCCTGCAGCTTGAGTGCTAGGTAGCTGCAATATTACGGCGATGGAGCTACTTCGGTACACATTGAATCGTCATGGGGGGACACATCAACATGGCAAGGAGACACATTGACTAGACTAGGAGACACTGAGGAAGGGGGATATAACAGCTATGATTCAGCCATGAACAATTTAAAACAAAGTGGCTCCATGGCCATAATGTTTTGGCCACCAAACCCAAAGGCTACACGGCTGTGATATTGCAAACTTAGATAATAGAATCTATATCATTCAGCATTTTGCATTACAATGGCAAGTTTTTCGACAGGTGAAACTTTCTCTAACTTAACTACACGTAAATGAAAAGGTGCCTGTATACCTAACCCATGCAGAGACCAGGTAATTTTACCAGTCTATGATAAAATTCATATTCAATAAAGATACTTTGACCCCACTTTTCCTATACTGAATACAAAACAGTATCTTTTATCATGTCTGCCTTCTCTTGCATCTGTACTTTATACCTAAATCTATACTATACTAGTACAGTATCTAACAAAACATAGAACACATAAAATGTTCAAAACATTAGATGAGAATTCTATGCACTAGTATCAAATTAAGCATTATTTGCTTGCACTAAGGAAGATGAGAAATTTCTCTTCATTTAACCCCCACGCACCGGGGTATGGGTATACTGTATTCCCGAAAATGTTAAAATTAAATAGCAACAATTCTGATTTTACAAACTGGCCATGCATGACATAAACAGAAAAGAAATACTGTACATGTACCTGTACTTACCATAGGTTGATATCACAGTGGCTAGGAAGAGTCGAGAAGGTGTGTGAAGTGACGTGTGTGTGATGCAGTGGGGTGTGGTTTGCAATACAAGACAAATAGCACTGATTTGTAGGCAGTATGAAGTACAGGACACTTGTTTTATTATATCATTACTATTTACAATAATTATTACTGCCTCCAGTAACTGATCACGAATCTGCTAATGGTCAAGAGTCTCCTACTACGCTTGCGCTTGGGAGTTAGAACCACGTGGTGAGGCACATGAAATCTAAAGGAGAGATCCCTACATCACTAAGCTGAAAAGCTATTGATAAGGGAAACCGAGAGGCTTGCAAGTGTAAGCGAGTGAAAGATAAATGCCTACTTATCTAGCCAGGTCTGTGTGGCAATTCAAATAGTACCTGTACCACAAAATTACAAAACATCATATGACATGAAACAAAGCCAAGGGGTTAAAGACAAGGAGAATTAGTTCTCTTCCAAAATCAGGGAATCCAGCTAAAGTTAATCTTAAAATATTAGGGAACATAGATACTTTTAAGAAGAAAAGATTCTCACCTGCATACATTGAAAGGTAAACATTGGCCTTGGTTTTGTCTGGTGCCGAGAGTAGTGCTTTAAAGTTAGTTCCATTGTAAGACCTTTGGATGTTAATGGAGCTGGTGGAGGAGTTTGAAATCTTGCTCGTTTTCCTACTGGTCGACCTTGTTCATCAAATATAATATTCAATTTATCTATTGTGTCTCCTTCTTCCTCTTCATCTGATTCATCATATCTTTTGTATGCAAACTCTCCAAACTGATTACGTTTTCTAACCTGAAAAGACCACAAATTATGAGTTTAGCACACCCATTTTACATAAATAAAGTGATTCATGTAAATTATTCCTCACATATTTCAGTTATCAAGCACGCTAACAATATCTATTTTCAGAACTATATATAAATCAATATAAAAATTTTGAAACACTACACTTTTTATATATACAGTACAGCACAGTGAACCCCTGATCTACTGCACTATTTGGTGGAAGGGTAGTTCATTAGACCATAAACTCTATTGGATCGCGAAATACAAATTAATGTTTTTAAATTTGCGGTTACAGGTACCCCTCGTTTAAAAATGGGTCGCATTCCTGAAAACTTAACATTAAAAGAAATTATCACTAAATGAGGGATAATAGTGAAGCACAGAGGGCAAAAAACAGGTTCAAATGGTAAACACTGAGTAGAGTACTCCCTCCTTTAAACGAGTTCATCATAAATGGTTTTGAAATTTAACAATTCATTTATTAACACCATAAATTCTAATATAAACGATATGGTTCTCTGATTTAATGAGAACAAGTTGAGCATAATTCAAACACATTTCAAATTGCATACATCAAATATGTGCAAAAAATTTTATACTGTATAATAAAGCGCATATAATAAACAATTATAGCAGACATTTTACAGACAAAAAATAGCTCCTTCCAACACTCAAATCATCCTCTGAGTGACATAACACAGTACAACATGACAGTCACCCAGCTGAATCTGCGACAAGTGTGACTGCTGCCACGCTGCGCTGTGTGTATGCCATGATATCACATTGGGGGAGGGTCTGGCTGGGCTGGTATTGCAGTTACAACACACTGCCTCCAGTCATTCATTGCCCACACATACACACCCATGTTCTTCATTTTTATTATTTTATAGTTTTATATATTTTCATTACAGCTTGAACAAAAGGGTTTTGGTTCCACTAAAACACTTTCGCTATGTAGATTACATTCATCGAAACAATTTTTCCCATATAAATTAATGTAGTAAAGTGGGATGTGTTCCTATACTAAGCTCTATGATAGAATAATATACTGTACTAAGCTCTGTGACAAAATAATAGCAAAACATCAAAATACTGAAGATAAAAACAATAAAACATGTAAAACATAAAGGTACATAAAAGAGTTGTTCATTGTTGTTTGGGGGAATATTAATTCATTCACTCCAGTAACGATACAAGGTTTTTAATGTGTTATCGTTGGAAACTGCATAGTTTATATAATTTGTTTATCACTGAACCCATCACCATATGTATTTCTCTTACACTGCCTGGCTATGCTGGCAATGGGAGTGGTAAGTGGAGTGAGTGACCCAAAGTTGAATGTCATCTGCTGTTGTAACTCTCCTCGCTCCCTGCCATATTTCACTGGATTTACTGTTATTATTAGTGTTTTACTGATAGAATAATACTTAATAGTAATTAACCATGGCATCGTAGCCAGGTTAGACTCATCACTGTAACCACCAGGCTACTAGGTCAAGCTGTGAGGTGTTATGGTTGTTTTTCAAATTTGTTTTTTGGTAGATACTGTATATGTAACTTTCTTCATTTATTTCTACTCAGTTACTTGTACACACCATCCTACATACATATTGTGAAAAAAAGTAAAAGAAATAATTGTCCTAAGGGTAAACACATGAAGGGAATATACATTTCTTTGCACACGAGTTAGCTGGCTCAGTGAGGTAGGGGAAGAGGGCGCAGAGGGGGTTGCTAGGGAGACGGCGGAGGTAGCAGTTGGTCTCTGTTATTATGGTGAAGCAGAGAGTGTATGCAAATGGCGACTGTTATACTTTCATTTGGATTTTATTTACTGGTTTGGCAATACAGTATTTTTTGTTGTACAATAATTTATTATGAATGACAGTCACAGTAAAATGAGTGAGAGAAGCAGTGTTGGTGAGATGCAGTGGGTGGGAGGGGAGAGAGGTGAAATTATGATTTAGGTGGAGCTGGTGGTGAGAAAGCAGAAAAGTGGGGGCGACTTACCTTTCGTAATGGTAGAACATTTTTATGTTAATCGGCAAATGGGTAGTAAAAACTAGCTTTCGTGATATTGGGGATTCGTTCAAAGGATTAACATTTAATGGTAACTTCCTGTATTTTTCCAAAATTTTTATAGCTTTACTACATGTAACAAAAGCAACATGCCATCTCACAGGCCACCTCTTCCCTGGTTTTCCCACATCATAGTGAGTTGAACATTGTTAAACTGAATTTTTACCTAACTTTCAACAAAAAAAGGGTGTTAAAAATTTGATACTGCTAATTTGAATTATAGTTCAGTGAATTAACGCTAAACAAGGGATACCTGTATATGGGAATGAACTGGAAGAAATTGGTATATTTTGAAAGATGGTCAATATGGACACAATATTTCAATCAGCTGTAAATGTGATTACAAGTGCAATATCAAATGCTCCCAATACAGTACAGTACATTACAGTACGCTGTATCTGAAAATGATCATGATACATTAAAAGTCAACTCGTGGTGGAAGTCCAATTCTTTTATGACAAAATGGACAACAAATTTACTGTTTCCATAATATGGATATTATCATGCACATTAGTAACTCTACAAAATTGTTTCACTCAATACCTTCTCCACTCGTGGCTCTTCTTTCCATTTAACCTGCCCAGGTTTCTTAACGGAGAGTCGCTCTCGCCATACTTTACCCATCTTAAAGTCAGGTTCATCTGGATCATCGCGGCAAAATAAACACAAACCCTTCATGATCCCGTGCGAGCAACACAATGCAGCAATGTCATCTGTATTGGGTGATGCGGCTGATGGACCTGAGTTACGCTTCTGCATGTCTAGGGAGAGAGATATATACTTATACTCCATAATGTAAATAATACTGAAGGAACAAAACAGTGATGAAAACTACAGCACATTTAATATATACTAAAAGTGTTCATATAAAATTACATCAATAACTTACCGGTACGTGCAGATTAAAATAACTGAATTAGAGATTAAAAATTCCTGCCAAATTCTTCCTTTCATATTAAGGTTAAAATCAATGTAACTGGAATTTGACAGCTTCATACAAATTTTAAGATCACTAAAATTATAATGAAACAGGAATACAGTAATAATACTGCAGTAAGAATAGTACTGTATTGACAATAACATAATACAACCTACCAGTATGATACTCCAGATGATCGGTAATGGTGTAACTAGCAAATAAATACTGTATTGTGGTCTCATTATCATATCAACATAAAGAAAAGTTGGGTACGATAATCTAACAATAATATATAAAGTGAGAAGCCTTTCATTACCTCAGGGTGTTGTGAACCTGCCTTACTTGCTGTTCAAACCCTGTGCGTTGGCACTAGGATGGTCCTACAGTCTTTTAAAACATTGCTTCAATATGCCTGTTGGCAACCAGGTCACAGAGACCATCCCCATGTCTCTGTTGCATTTTCTGTGCTGATGTCCAGGGTTTGCAATGTTCTGGTTTTACCCAACAGCTGCCATCAAGTAATCACAGCTAACCCAGACAAGTGTGGATAAATCTATGTCTGAAACAAGTGTGGAATGAAGTCTGTCTTTCGGGCTCTGATGAGTCAAAGTGTCGTGTTTAAAGTTTACCTGTTAACATTTTCATCCCAGCTCATACTGCTCTCCTGTATACAGTACCAAAGACTGTAGGCAAGAGAAGCCCAGTTTAATGATTGCATTGACACTCATCATTAGCATCATCAATGTTTTACAGTAGTTTTAAACACTTGTGTGGATTAGCCAGACAAATAATTCCGTTAACCCTAAAACAAGCAATACATTGGAACAACAACTCTGCAACCCTCACTACCTAATTTTAAGGGGAATCCCATTGCACATACAATATTTTAGAAAACAACACATCTTCTAGAATACAAATTTCCACAACATTTATTAACACAAGTAGTTAACAACATTCACAACATGCTTTAAACTGTGTTATTTTCCCCACCCTTACTAAAACAGATGTGTTCTCCTATGGAGTTCCTTTGTACACCTTTTGGAAATTATATTAAAATTGAAAATTAGGATATGGATATGGCTTACCGTACTGGGAAGTTCATTTTAGTAAGAAATAAACATGACATTACTGTCTTAATACGTTGGTCACCTTGACATTTATAAAAATTGATGCTACCTCCAACATCTGAGATTTGTGGCCCAGAGAGGAAAGTGTTAAGGATAAATGGTTGAGGAAGTGTCTTGATAAAAATTTTGATGACTGGCAAGAAAACATTATAATGTGAACAATCTTGAATTGCCTGAAATGTTTATATAAAAATTACCTAATTGGCAATGTAGTGTAAATTAATTCTTTACTTTACTATGTACATCAAATTGAATGTGCAAAACTGTATTATATGCAAAAATTTACTGAATTACTGTATATCATTAACCATAATCTGAAGCAGCATCGTTGACATCATCCAGGGAGTTAGGGTTGGTGAGGGGTTGAGTGGGTATGGGTGTACCCCTTCCCTCACTACTGCTGCTAGATAAACCCTGCTTCTTGCCCCGTAAAAGCTCAGTGCACACAGACACAGAAAGACCTGGGAAAGCCAAGCATAATATCAACTAGCAGCGGTTACAATACATAATGGGTTAATGTTATCCATTATGATTTATTAGAAAAATCAAATGTTCCTACAATAATCTCTAAAGTAACAGTGAAAACTAAAGAGCATAACTTGTTTTTGTTAAGTAAAATACAGGACATAGCAATGGATTAGTAACAGGGCTTTGGAACACTATACAGTACCGTAACAGTTACTGAGTACACATTACATAAAGGTGAATTGTTCATGAAACTTCAGCTTTTAACTAAGCAGAGATAAAACTTGTTAATATCCCCTAAAGGCTTGAGGATTGAGGACCAGGGAAGCCCCAACCTTCTTTTGAATACAATACTGTACTTGAATGTGAAATATATTTACACACACCAATGGTGCCCAAGAGACCTCCCTAGCTATCCACCCTAAATATCTATATTTTATTCTATTCAACCAGTACAGTACATTAAAACATCAGAACATCATAAACAGGCAAACATGCCAAACAGTAGAATCCTACCTGTCCCATGCTGATCAACCTAAGCCCCACCTGCCCCATGCTGATCAACCTAAGCCCCACCTGCCCCATGCTGATCAACCTAAGCCCCACCTGCCCCATGCTGATCAACCCTAAGCCCCCACCTGCCCCATGCTGATCAACCTAAGCCCCACCTGCCCCATGCTGATCAACCTAAGCCCCACCCTGCATGCTACCTGCCCCATGCTGATCAATCCCACCTGCCCTGCTGAAGCCCCACCTGCCCCATGCTGATCAACCTAAGCCCCACCTGCCCCATGCTCATCAACCTAAGCCCCCCCCCTGCCCCATGCTCATCAACCCAAGCCCCACCTGCCCCATGCTCATCAACCTAAGCCCCACCTGCCCCATGCTCATCAACCCTGCCCCCACCTGCCCCATGCTGATCAACCTAAGCCCCACCTGTCCCATGCTGATCAACCTAAGCCCCACCTGCCCCATGCTGATCATGAGCCCCACCTGCCCCATGCTGATCAACCTGAGCCCCACCTGCCCCATGCTGATCAACCTGCCTGCCCCATGATCAACCTAAGCCCCACCTGCCCCATGCCCCACCTGCCCCATGCTGATCTAAGCCCCACCTGCCCCATGCTGATCAACCTGCCCCATGCCCCAGCCTGCCCCCATGCTGATCAACCTAACCCCCACCTGCCCCATGCTGATCAACCTAAGCCCCACCACTTTGCAGTCAACCTAAGCCCCACTGCCCCATGCTCATCAACCTAAGCCCCACCTGCCCATGCTCATCAAAGCCCCAACCATGCTCATCAACCTAAGCCCCACCTGCCCATGCCTAAGCCCCCACCTGCCCCCATGCTCAACCCACCTGCCCCACCTGCATGCTCATCAGCCCTAAGCCCCACCTGCCCCATGCTCATCAACCTAAGCCCCACCTGCCCCATGCTCAACCAATGCTGATCAACCTGCCCCCACCTGCCCCCATGCTCATGAGCCCCACTTGCCCCATGCTGATCAACCTAAGCCCCACCTGCCCCATGCTCATCAACCTAAGCCCCACCTGCCCCATGCTGATCAACCTGAGCCCCACCTGCCCCATGCTGATCCCTCCCCACCTGCCCCATGCTGATCAACCCCTCCCCGCACACAAACTAAGCCCCACCTGCCCCAGGCTGATCAACCTAAGCTCCACCTGCCCCATGCTGATCAATCTAAGCCCCACCTGCCCCATGCTGATCAATCTAAGCCCCACTTGCCCCATGCTGATCAATCTAAGCCCCACCTGCCCCATGCTGATCAATCTAAGCCCCACCTGCCCATGCTGATCAATCTAGCCCCACCTGATGCTGATCAATCTAACCTGCCCCATGCTGATCAATCTAAGCCCCACCTGCCCCATGCTGATCAATCTAAGCCCCATGCTGATCAATCTAAGCCCCACCTGCCCCATGCTGATCAATCTAAGCCCCACCTGCCCCATGCTGATCAATCTAAGCCCCACCTGTCCCATGCTGATCAATCTAAGCCCCACCTGCCCCATGCTGATCAATCTAAGCCCTACCTGTCCATAATGAATAATTATCACAACAGAGGTATCCCCCATTAACCAAATGTTCACTATCCAAAAATTTGCTTATATCTGTACAAAAATTTGATCCTTACACCCTTTCACTATCCTGAAGATTGTCTTTTCGAAAATTCAAATCATCAACCCATCATGGGCCCTTACTGCCCTCTGATATGGTAATTTACCGACTGTACAGTATATTTCATCTAGTTTAGCAATTACTTGACTGTAGCTAGGTATTAAATTACAGTAGTTATGTACTATATTACAGTTCAGGTAGAAGGCCACGATGTGCAGAGAAATGCTTTTCCATCCTCAGCACAGTTCACCTATCTGCGCTGTCTGACAGCCACCATACATATTTCATTTCCGTGCTTTGTTCCAAAGTGATCGCACCTGCCCTCACCCGTGTAACCAACATTATATTATTTATCATTGCATAACCTTGTGATCGCTGTGATATTTACCAATTTTGGTGAGAGGAAAACACTATCATTTTGATTTTGCTCTGTTCTGGTGACTGTGAAGTGATTAATAACTTTGAAAATGGCTACCAAGTGTCCTGATGACTCTCCCCACCTCTGGGAAAGACAAGGCTTCAAGGAAGACCATGTCTCTGGAGACAAAGTTAGACATTTTTAAGTGACAGGATTATTATTATTTATGTGGTGAGCGTTGTATAATTTTTATTTATTTATTTATTTAATAATGTAGGATAGCTTTTTCTGATACACGCACCTGTGTCAGACAGGCCAGGAACATATCCCATTGAAACCCATGTTAAAGGCTCCCAATTTACATTAATTCAATTTACGTTAGTGATTCCAGGAATGCAGCCCTACCATAAATTGGGGATACCTGTACCTATATTCTTACTGTAGAGCTGGCAGGATTATTCAGGAGGCAAAATTAGCATGTGTTGTCAGTAAGAAATCAGATAAAATAAGGGTAAGAATGCTCTGGAATGTATATTAGTCATGCTGCCATTGTGCCATAATTACAATTCTCACACATTAATGGTACGGTACACTCTGGGACTAAAGTCGTGAACAGCTGCACGGAACCAACACTAGTGACCTTTGGCAATGAGTAAAATCATGTTAAAACTATATATATGATATGATATGATATGATATAAATAAAATAAGTTTAATAAGTTTAAAATATAAATTATCGTAAATACAAAAGTAAAGTTTGAGTCTTTATGATCAGATTTTTATGCAAAAAGCAGAGGGTTGAGCTACAGACAGTGGCCCAGATTCACTAACACTGCTGAGATACAAAGTTAGTAACTTCCGGGATATCTGAAGTCCATACGAACTACCGCAAGAGCGATTCACTAACGGTTCCTAACTGAGTTGTGGTGTTCGTATGAATTCTAGCATTAGTTCTTAAAATGCCGACAGTTGGCAGTGGTGTGTTTCCTCTTGGCCAATCACTGCGACTGATACATAACTGAGTAGGAGGATTATCTTATTTAAGTAAACTATGATCTTCCAGCAACTTAAACAGTGTCCTGCACTAAATACCAATCCAACTTGAATAAAAAAAACTTTCTGAAATTATACAGGTACAGTAAAGTACAGTATATCAATCCTTTCAATACACAGTACAGTAGTAAGACAAGTCATTACCTGGAGTGAGATCATCCTCCTCCTCATCTGTTGCTGACCGGGTAATTTTGGGGGATTTGAAATGTTCATTTGGAGTTTCATGTCTGGACCCACGGAGTGTTAGGGGAAGGCAGGGGAAGCGCCGAGTAACTCCATTACAGAGTGTCGTTCGAACTTTTTTGGGCATTTTCTGCATCTCATTTACAAGCTCTTGGTCATGTAGAGCTAAGGCCATATCTGAGGATTGTCAATATTTAAAAACAATAAAACATTGAGAAGATACCTTTTTTACATAAAAATCTATCCTTTATTCAGTACAATGTCTGTCTCCTCTTATATCCACAGAAGGAGATTGAAATATGAAATGTTGATCCATGTCCATGATGTGACAATTGTTCTTAAGAAGTAGCTGTGGTCACAATACACACACACACACACACACACACACACCAAAACTCAATGCTGGATATCACAAGTTGAATTCATCACCATCATCATCATATTTTAAAGCCATTTTCTATGCTTGTGTGGATTAGTCACAGTTACACTACCTGATGGCAGCTCTCCATGCTGCATGGTCTCTTGCAGTCTCTCTTATTAGGCTCCTAATGCTAATGTCATTTCTTACAACCTCTCCCCATGTCATTCTTGGCTTCCCTCTCTCTCTTCTCTTCCACATTTAGGCTCATGCACATCTTGACCTAATTAGCCTTATCCATTCTCTCCACTTGTCCAAACCATCTCAGCCTGCCTTTACACAGGAGTTTGCCAATACAGTGGGTCCCCCGAGTTACAAACACCTGAGCTACAAACACCCATCTTACGAATGTGATCCAACCACATTATTTAAAATGAATGCCAACTGGGGGGTCCTGCACATACAGAACACTTAAAGATCAGCAACATCCCTCAGTCTGCCATCTACACCTCTTGTGTACCCACCTTCCACACTTGTTGCACATTACTGAGTTGCTGGATATCAAGAGTTGATTTACAAACCCTAATTAGTACAGTACGTAGAATGAAGTTACATGTATTAGCATTATAAAAAAATGTATGCCTCAATTCTTAAATAACACTGTACAGTAAAAATACTTTAATTATATTCTGAAACACGAACAGAATTTTTAATGAATGAAAACCTGAAAAATTATCAATACAAAGGGGTCTTTAATCCAGCCAATATTTTCTCTAAAACAAATCTCAAAAACCTCTTTTTTGTAATCTATAATCCAGTACTGAGATGACAAAACTTCTGAAGAAAACTGATAATTAAATGAAAAAAATATATGAAGAAATAAAAACACTGGCAGACAGTTTAAATTACTCACCAAGGTCTCCAGGATCATAGAGAGCAGTTAGACCTTTTGGCATTGACACTTTTTCTCTTTCTTTGGCTCCTAAGGCCCACCGATTCCACTCTGCATTACATATAATGACTGAGGCTGGACAGAATGGCAAATGTTCTGCTAAAAAGCGACGCTGCATCCAATGGGGACATCCATAACCAGTATTGATGCAAGGCACTCGTTCATGACTACAAATGAGGCGGTGTTCCTCTGTTTTACATATGTGGAATCTGGAATAGAATTACAAGCAATACTTTGGCAAAGTTGGAGTTGAGTAGTTAAGAAGATATAAAAAAAAAACACTACAATATACTGTATAACAGCGCTATCACTGCATTTACATATCTAACGAAGGTGGATACCATAATCATTGATGGCCCAATAGGTACAGTGCAAACTTTCATTTCACAAGGAAGTAGCATGATTAACACCACACTTGACAGCCTGCGCCTCCCATTCAGTAAAATTAAGTACCCAGTTACAACTGGGTAGACTGAGGGTAGCCAGGGATGAAACCAACAACCATTAGAGCAAGAAGTGAGCATTCCAGCATGTCCACTCATCCACTGCTCCTCCTAAAATATCTCAAATGGAACATAGTTTACAGTGCACTTTGATCCTCCTTTGGGTAAACATGAATAATTAATTTTATAGAATTACATGAAAATACTTATGCAAGTAAAAGATTTTGAGTATTCAGGAATAATGTTAGGACATTCAAGAAGGACATATGAAAAGGATTCTGGAGAAAAGGAAAGTAACAAGAATGTACAAATGTAATGTGGCAGCTGTGTTAGGTAGAGAGATAGAGAATGTCTACATGGTTGGTAAAGTTGGAACAACACATCGAGGAGAGAAGAAAGGATGAGATAAAGGGAATAGCAAAGGCAAAGTACGTAGTCATAGGATCCTCAGAGGAGAGCTGCCTGGAGGAGTAAGTTGTAAGAGATAAAATAGATATAAAGAAGTTTAACATTGGATGACTGACCAATCAAGTACATGGTAAAAGCAAATGTGATGATAATATTGGAGCCATACTACAATGTATTGACACCCTTACTTGTGACCACAGCCATTTTGACACAACTCCAGTTCACAGCTCCATCCAGGTTTGGGACGTTCCTTACACCTCGTCATCTTAAAACAATGCTCACAGTGGAAATGTATATTTATGTCCACCTCATCTTCATAGTCTCCAGGCAGAGTGATGGATTCATCACTTCCATCATCAGTATCCGATTCTACAGGTGCTTCCATTTCTGAAATGAATTTGAAAATTTATAAAAGTTGATAATGTACTTAACTGCCTCTTAAGGCATCATGGTTTGGATTTCACATACTTGTTCATTACATCCAGGATAACAGATATTACTGTGAAAAAAATAAAATTATAAAATGACTGAAATATGAAATAAAAATTCTGCTTACATACAGTAACTCATGCATGTTCAGGATGTCTCCCAGTAAAACATCTGAGGGAGGATCTGAGGTCTGCACAACATCACATTTTTCACATGTTTAAACATATTTACTGTATATGTGTTATACAGTACAGTATAACAATACAGTATACCGGGTACACAAAAAAACCCTGCCTTAACTTGATAATGGTAAATAATACAGTATGGGATAAAGGTAAAAAGGTTATAGAAGTTAGTTGATATGAGCTGGGTGGTTTTGTTTGCATTACTGTAGTGGCTTTTCCTATAAATTATAAAGTCATGAGTATTTTTCTAGCTAACCTATCATCTTTTGACAAAACCTAAGCACAACCAAGAAAAACTAATTCCCTTTGATTTGCTGATATAAATCCACTGTCACTCTCTACTTCTCTCACAAATTTTAAAGTGAAATCCCACTAGACTTTACCTAGAGAAAAGTGCTGGTACTTGCTGAAAAAAGATAATTTCTTGTACAATATTATATGCATATTTTGTGAATTATAGTGACTAAATGTGACAATCGGACACAAGCTAAGCACACTGCATTGTTTGTTTGCACTAAATCCACAGAGACAGAAATTTCATGGCAGGAGACATCAAGTGGGGACTCGAGCACAGTTATAATGTTACAATACTGCCTAGAGCCTTAAAAGGATTTGGGATCTGAATCTGCAAGATACTAGTGAGCAGTGAACATATTGTAGTACCTGATGCATGAGGTCCAGTAAACCACAGCTATAAAGGACTGCTATAATTCATCTACCCACATCACAATCACAAAAAAGGTTAGTTTCCTATACAGCATTACTGAAAAATAAATGTAGAATTGTGGGAAGCTCCACCAGTTTTAGTCTCAGCATAATGTGGTGGACGTGTCACAGTTGTGGTCACAAATTTATTCATATATGTTAGGTATTTTTTTGTGAAATCAGTTATTTTGCAAAATGACCGGCAAGCATGCTGGAAATTTTGCAAAATAACTTTCAAACAGGTAAACCTAACCTAACCTTATGGTTAAATATGGTTAGGTTAGCTCGTGTAGCTTGATACTGTTTCTTGGTCCTGCTCCTTTTTTTTTAAACTTCAGACTATGAGCTGTCCTAACTTTACTTGTTACAATTTCTAACTCATTCAAACCTAACTTCAACTTTATTCAACCATAAGATATGGTTAGGTTGCCCTGTTTGTTAGTTATTTTGCAATATTACCAATATGCTTGCTGGTCATATTGAAAAATAACTGATTTCACAAAAGAGTACAGTAGTACTGTATATACATTATATTGTAGATTATTTATTTGATTGGCAAACCCAACCCCACATAAGGACCCAAACAGAAATGACCTTTCAATGGCATTCTTGGGCTATTCTTGGTTAAATCAACTTACTGTTTAGAACTGTTCATATACCTGCATTGTCTGTCCCCAAATGAACTCTGACTTTAATAAATAAAAATCTAAATATCCAACAAACTTTCGAAGAACAGAATCCAAATCATATTTAGTTTTGCAGTAATCTACCAAACAATGATATTCTAAACAAGCTTGAAAATGTCAAACGCAATACAGGTACTGGGTACATTTTTTTTGACAGTTTGTGAACAGTTAAATGTTAAACACCACAAACTGAATAAGTACAATTCAATATTATGGTTATTAATTAGTTCAAACTTCCCTAATAATTACTTTTCCTAGCTTGCAGTAAAATAAGATTCGCCTATGTTCAATAATTTAGATAATATACAGTAAATTGGAGGCAAGAGTAAAGAGAACCCAACTACCTGATGTGTGAGGTGTGAGGGTCAGCCTGGTGGCCCCTGGCTCAGCTGATCACCTAAAAACATTATAAAAGTTGAGGAGCGAGAAGCACTGCCCGTTCTAAAACTATATACTATACATTCCTACCATTTAATAATATTCCTTGACTCCTAAACAATCTCTGCTGCTTCCCTATATATTTATCACATTTACACACAGCGAAAAATCTACTCAATAAGTTTAAAAAGATATAAAATAATAAATGCTCTACCAACCTTGATCAAAACAGTTGTGGTATAATCCCTGTAACAAGTGCAGCTGTAATATCAACCGCTGACACAAACAGTTAATTCATTATATTTACTGATTTTAAGCACAACATATACAATAATATTAAGAAATGGGTAGAAGAATAACTATAAATGAATAACCAGGTGTAGTAAATAAAGCACACAATGGTAAGTGTTATGTCCTCACTCGTACAACTAACTTACTAACACTACTGCTGGTTCTTCTCCTCTTCGCCATGGGTTTTTTCCTGTAATATAATTGTCGCATTTGCTATTATGTTGTTTAAATGTGTGGTCAGATATGAATTTAAATGTATAAGAGATAGCCTAATCCACATTCTAAAGGAGATGTAAGGGTCCGACTAATTACCCAAATGTACCCGGAATGAAGTCAAATAATGGTCCTACATGAATAAATCGGACTGCCAATCACTTCTCGACTAGTATTTGGTGTCACAAAGTCACAAAAATTTGGTAAACTCAATTTAATCTGAGTTAATAGATCGAGTGCATGTACCTAACCTAACCTAACCTAACCTCACTAGTATTTGGTGTCACGAAGTAACAAAAAATTGGTAAACTTAATTTAATCTGAGTTAATAGACACAAGTGCATGTACCTAACCTAACCTAACCTAATCTAATCTAACCTAACCTAACCTAACCTAACCTAACCTAACCTAACCTAACCTAACCTAACGTAACACAACACAACTCAGATTAAATTAAGTTTACCAATTTTTTGTGACTTTATGACACCAAATAATAATCGAGAAGTGATTCACAGCCCGAATTACACTTGTACGACCATCATTTGACTTCATTGCGGCTATATTTTGCTACATTTGGGTACATTTGGGTAATTAGTCGGACCAGAGATGTAATACTTCATGGAGTAACTTCACCACAATCTTGGCTACCAAGATTAGGAATTTTTTAGTCTTTGTTAACAATAATATTCGGTAGTGACCATTCAGAACTATATTTTGAACTCTATATTGAGTAACATGGTGAATTTATAGTATCACACCAGTCTTTATTTCCGTATTAAAAATATGTATCTTGTAATGTTTACACAATTCTAAGACAGTTTTCTTCTATGATATTTCCACCGGAAATTAAGGATAACCGAGATATTAATTTTTCAAGATTATTACTTTCGCTCAGTCACAAGTGTCGCCAAGATCTGTTTACTTATGGCGGAGGTGGTCTGACCACCTGCTCACGCATTGCTCCAGGCCTCTGTCTTCGCTCTTTAAGCGTCTGGGGCATGAACAACGGATGAGGTTAGGTTAAGTTAGGTTTTCTTTGTTGGTTGGTAATATATTTGTTATTTATTCTAAAAAAGAAATCCAACCTTTTCCGTTATGATTGTTGGGGGACGGGGGTTATCTAAAAAAAAAAAACATGATTTCTGGTGGAAATTAATATAAAATTCTTTAAAAACTCGTCAAAATACAGAGGAAAAACCTATTTCTAATATTGATATAAAGACCGGTGTGATACTAAAACATATTTTTAATATCGATATAAAGACTGGCACACTCACAGTAAAATAGCGTTAGGAGGAACTTAGCCGGTCACAGCAAAATATCCATTATAAAAAAATTAATATTTTCTCTACCATTTTTGGGATGGTCTTTATAAACTGAAGACCTTCCAAACCCAATTTCTTGGCCTGGGCACCAGTTCTTAAATGTTACACATTTTAAAGTGGCTAACAAGCTGATCAGTGGCAAAGAGGATAAAGTAGTGCGTGCCTAGGTGCCTAATTATGTATATACCTAACAAAGCATTTGCCCAAGAAATAAATATTATATCAAAACTCACTGATGAAAAATATACTGTATAGGGTAGTAAGAAAAGACACATCAAAGCAAATAACACGGCAGTGGGTATCTCGTCAATATTAACCCCGCTGGTTATTGGGGGACGGTGACTTACAATATTATCCCATGTAGCATCTTTACTTTCTTTAATGTCTAATTGGTAAATCAAACACAGTACTATGGTAAATATTTGGTAGTTATCATGCTCTGTATAGCAAGATGAAGCAAAAAAAAACTGATTTATACCCTTAAGTACTAGTCTGGTACTTCTACCATTAACAAAAACTGTAGATAACAGATTTTTTAGGTCTCGGGACAAAAAGTTTTTCTCATTATGTGTGTGTGAAAGTAGTTGATCTATTAATACTGTACTGTATAAACAATACATATGTAATTATGAAGAAATTTCAAAGCACTGGAGTACTGTATTGTATGGTCTTTAATCTTCAGTGAACATGGCCATCAAAATAGAGGGATGATGGAAGCTGATGGGTTCCAGGTTGTGAGCAAAAAGAAAGCTGCAAGAAAAAAACATCTTAAAAAGCCACAAGTTAATCTTAACCTACCTCAAGATAATGTAGACGAATGTGTAAGGTAAGTGACAGAGAAAATGTGGTTCTTGTCAGTAATCATCAGATGTTAAGAATGTGACTTAACTCTACATTTATCTTGCAAAACAAAACTAATTTTGCCTTTTTATATAATGTGAGAGTACTGCACGTATACAGTATGTACAGTACTGTATAAATGTGTACAAGTATTTTATCGATTACTCTTTATAAATTAATTTCAAAAAGTAATTAGTGAAAGTTCCATGATTTATAAAATCTCCCAAATGAAAGATTGGTTTTTTTTCATAATATTATCTTGTATAGTACACTGTATTTTATTAATGTCCAAAAGAGGAATGAATTATATTTCCATATTGTATAAAACCTTTCTTTTTCATTTCAGTAAAAGTACTCTATTTGCTTTCCAGGAAAATACTTGATGCAAAAGATGTACTTCAGTCAAGTGGAGGATATAATAATTTTGAACATAACTTGAATAATATAACAAGACTTACACAGACTCAAGGAGGAGAGAGCTACAAAATTTCTTCACTTGTTTGCTATGGTTTAGGTTTGCCGTCATCTAGCAGAATTGCCAAGTACCAAACAGCTTTGCTGCTCATTCTAAGAAATTATTTCAATGTTGAGGCTGAATTATATGACCCATTATTTACAAGTGTGGATACCAGAGTGTTGCAAAAATTCAACTTTCATGTTTTATCAAATAATGAAGAGGGTAAGAGGAGTGTGAAAGGAGTAACTCTATTTTTTATGCCACACTGTGGAAAGGAACTTTATAATAATCTCCTTTGGGCAAACTGGAATCCAGTATCACTACCATTGTGTATCATTATTGGCAACAGTTTTAGTTCTATGGTACAAAATACACTATCGCGTATACTGAAACAACAATATAAATTTATATATCTAGCTGAAAGTTTGTTTAAGGAATATCCTTTAGAAGCCTTAGTTGGTTATGATGACATATTTAATGATATGAGCCTTCACATCATACCTGAAGACCTCACAGACAAACAAAATGACAACTTGTGGTGTGACAAAGATGAACCAAAATATGTTGAGTGTGGTGTTGAAATTGTCCTGGTAAAGGCTGAAACAAGTGAGAGCAAAATACGTACTTGCACTCAAGTGATTGTTTGTAAAAGCGACAAGAAATTTAATGAACTGAAAATTTAGAGAACATGAGTTTTCCAGTGAAAAGATGGTTATGTTTTTTATTTGTTTCCAGTGCCTTTAATTTCTATTTTTGTTCAGCTCATTGTAATAAAGGTTTCTTTAAATTGGGGCAAGCAGCAACATGTCACCCATGGCTAACATGTGAAGATATGACTCATTTAGAAATTGGTGATCTCATTGGGTATGGAGCAGTGAAGCAGGTATATCAAACTACCTGGCACAATACTACAGTAGCTGTAGTCTATGTTAACAACAGAGATTATATAAATGATTTTTTACATGGATTAGAAATGTTGAAGGCACTTGGACCAAACAAATACATTGTTCAATTGATTGGCTTCTGCCTGAAAGATAAAGTTTATTTGATTGAGTATCATCCTTTAGGTAACAGTGTGCATGTTGATGAAATATTTATTAAGAATAATATTTATGACATAAAGAAAAGGTTTAACCTGTGTGTTGATTATGTGAGAATTCTTGAATTTTTGCATAATAGTCCTGGAGGAAAACGTGTGATGTGTGATTCAAATTCATTAAACAAGACTCTTGAACAGTACCTAATAACTTCATCTCTAAGTCTTATTTTGAATGATGTTGATGCATTGCCAGAGGTAGGACATGAGGGCATCATCTGCGGTCACAGAGAACTTCAGGGTAGTTTTATAGCTCCAGAACAGAAGTGGCCTTATCCTACACACAGCTACCAGGAGGACAGAATGCCACCATATGATGAAAAGGTTGACATCTGGAAAATTCCTCCTGTTTGTAACTATTTCCTAGGAAAGAGTGAGGCTGCTAAGGTTTTCAGATACCACTTACATCCCATCCACAGAAAGTGTCGAGAAAAGTACGCTGTACATCGACCAAGCGCCAGAGAAGTGTTAAATTTTTATGAAAAGTTACTACAGGAATATTTTGTGGATAAATTTACACTTACAAGAGAGGAGCTTTAATGTCATTTCTTGGCATTTAGGTGTAAAAATAGTAAACATTCTAGTTAAGTAAAACAGAATTTTTTATTATCTCCAAATGGGGAGGTAGAAACTTGGTTAAATTCAATAGTACAGTACAGGTAATAAAACTCAGCATTTACCAATTACACTTTCCAAATTAGATGATCTTCCACCAATCACATTTCAGGATGCAATCATTCTGCCAAGTTCTAAAATAGATATGCCCGGCCTTACCATTTCCTCTAAAATGTCATGGAAGCTACATATCCACAACATTGCTAAAGCTGCCTCCCGAAAGCTGGGAATGCGATACAGATGCCATAGCTACTTCACTCCTGAGCAGCTGCTTTGAGTCTATAAGGGATTCATTTGTCCTAACTTGGAGTACTGCTTTCATATCTGGGGTGACTTCTTCTGTCCAACTGTTAGATAGGGCAGAATCAAAGGCATTTTGTCTTATTGACTCTCCTCCTTTAGTTTATAATCTTTCTTCCCTTTCTCTTCGCCACAATGTTGCTTCACTCTCTCTCTCTTTTACAGGTACTTTAACGGGCAATGTTCGGTTGATTTGGCATCCTGTGTACCGCCGGCAAGGCCGTGGGCTCGTAACACTCGTCTTGCCCGCGGTGCCCACAGTTTCTCTGTGGTTGTCGGTCACACTAGAATAACCCGTTATAGTACATCCTTCTTTCCTCACACAGCCAAACTGTGGAATGTTCTGCCTTCTGTGTTTCCATACTCTTATAATGTCTCACTTTAAAAAGCTGGTTTTCTGGCATCTTCGTGGTGCAGATTAATGCAATCCTATTTTTAATCTCTTTTTACTCTTATTTTTTCGCCCCCCTTGGCCCTGTTGTGGGTCAGTGACTTGTGCCTGGGTGGGCTATACCCCCTCTCTCCCCAAAAAAAAAAAAATCCGTGAGAAAAATGGAGAGTCGGTGGTTCTTGGTACAGTCCAGTACAGTACTGTATATTGTATGGTGCAGAATTTATGTTAATTTGACCAATTTAATTTAACTAAATTTCATTTGAGTGGTAAACCAGTCGGCCTCTTTTACCCAAGGAAGGAATTACCATGGCAGAAGTAAAATAGTTGTCCTTTCTCCTTTAGCTGATTCTTTTTGCTAAAATCACATTAAAAATTTTTACAGAACCTGTATTTGGCAATACATTTTGTCAATATCTATATGATTATTTTAAGGCCAGCTAATTACCATACAGCATTACTTTTTATCTCTGTGTCTTCCTGTTTTTTTTTTTTTTTTTTTGTCTTCTCTCTGACTCACAAAGACAAGCTTGGTAGTTGATACAGTACTCATTTTTTCCAAAGATTCTTTTCTATTAATACAAGCAAATAAGGGGAGCTGTATTTAATGTGACAGTTAAGCCACTTAGAAAAATCCTTCAGTAATGTTTAAGTGTTTATACAGAATCTCTAATAACTAGCACTGAGGAAAAACTCAGTGGCTTCAATGTTTAAGGAAGAATGTACAGGTATACATGTGATAACTCACTTAAGGATGAGACATTCCTCGATATATCAAACATCAAATATTGGTTCATTTTGATGTTGAGTATTCTAAATAAATTAATAGAAAAATATTTGTATGCTCCTTATTACACTCCCAAAAGCTATTACCCTGAACACTGTACAGTACAGTATGACAAACATACTACTACAGTACATTGCTTCATGGTATTAAGAAAGTAATACAGTATTGATATGAACAAACACATTGTTTCATTATATGAATGCATGTACAGTATTAATGTTGGTCTTAAATATATTACCTGTATTCCTAATGAACTCCCTGATGGTTGGTACTTATTTCTTTCTCAGTCATAGATGAAATAAAGATGGGAGACAACCAACTCCTAAGAACTAAAAGCGCCAGGAATTGATTAAAAACTAAGTCTAAAATTGCTAAAAAAAGAAGCTCATGATTGGGGCTAATCCTCTGGTGACCCAAATACAGTATAATATTGTACAGGAGGAAGAGGAATGGTAAAAGAATACACCAGAGGAAAATAACAATTACATACAGTACAATGCTAAAGTACCTTGAGAGAGAGAGTAGTGATTAAGAATGTGCAGTTGAAGAAGTACAGTAGTCAGAATGTACTGGAGAATGGAGGAGAAAGTACAATGATAGACTGCACAGTGAAGGAGGAAGCACAATGATGGAGAATGTACAGTGAAGGAGGAAGCACAATGATGGAGAATGTATAGTGAAGGAGGAAGAATAATGATGCAGAATATACAGTGAAGGAGGAAGCACCGCACAGCAATTCAAGGATGAACTACTCTAAAGGAGTTGTATATTCAATGAGAGCACAATGAAGAGTAAAGAATGGTGATAAGGTAAGTACTGCACTGTATTAGATGGGAAGAGTACAGTACTTTAAATATATATTACATACAATACTGTAATCAGAATAATCGTCATACAATTCATCGGGCTTTAGTATATACAGTACATAATCAGTGCGGGTATACAAACATAATGCAGGTATACATTATCAATCCCGGCCCGGGAATCCGGGACAGTTGGGGAATTACTTGCCATGTTCCCCCACCCACAACTTTTTGTACCCCCCTTTTCATATTCCTGGATCCGCCCCTGGGTTTCCCCCTGTAATAATGCTGGGCAATAAAGGCCATAAAAGGTAAAAAGAATAGGCCAACCGCACAAACGGCTGGTAAGCTAACTGTTATGTACAGGTATACAAATGTAGAGGTAAAAGTCGTTTCGACTGCGGATAGTCCCAGAGAGCCATTGCAAGCCCCACCCATTCTAAAATTAACTACCAGTAACTATGGGTTTAAACTACTCAACACTGATACTGCAGTCTGAAAGTCGGTATCCCTTGTTAACACAGCCGCCGCCAGATATCGATTTTCTGTTAATTTGAGGGTGTGAAGTCTAATTTTTATCAGTAATTGTTCATCTATATGTCTGTTTTGGGGTTATTTCTCCTGTTACAGCGATGAAATATATTGTAACGAAAGAAAGTGCAACAGTAGAGAGATAAAATTGAACTATACATCGGAAAATGTTAAGTTCAGTTTGTGGTTAAGGTCAGTTATTAGAAGCCAAGGTTGTAGCAGAGCAGGGAAAAAAATGACATGGGAAGGGAAAGAAAGATCAAGTAGGGTGGGAACTGTGGGAGAGGTAAGTAAGGGGAGTGGGGAGTGTGTGGGGTGGTTAAGGGTGAGGGGGAAGAAAGGGGACTGAGAGGGGTTGAGGGGGACGCCTGCTGCCGAAAGATAAGGTGGATACACGAGCTTCTGCTTGCCACGCTGTACGATAACCTACATCCTACATACAATTTTTATTGACGAACCTATTTGTTATATTGTTTGTACCTGTATGTATATATATATATATACAATTCTACGAATATTTTCGTATTTATATTATATTCCTAAGAGTGTGATGTGGTTACGACAGATAAATAATGATAGTGATCACCGTCAACATGGGCAGTGTTTAGTTAAGTCAACGAACCCATCAACCGGGAAGTAGGACTACAGTACAGCATTTCAGAAAATGTAAATACAATACGTCTTGCCACTACAGTTTTATTCTTATACACGCATCATATTGCAACAATACACCTGATACGATATTTTTAAAATTAAAAATTCGATTAAATATTCAGAACAAAAAATTTCTTAGACCCTATGTTCTTCACTTCCAAATAACATTATTAAATTGAATTCATAATACTGTAAATAACTCACGTGACAGTACAGGTAAGTGTTGGAAGGTCTCGTGAGGGTGAAGGTGAAGGTGAGGTGCCTACGTGTGTGAGGAACCCTGACGCCTCTGGGCTTGTTTGTGTCAGGCGGGGGTTGAGTATGAACTCGAGGGTCACTTGAGTCAGTTGATACCTCTATGACGTAAACAATTGCCATTTCAGCTTCATGGTGACTCAACCCCAATAATGGCGGTTACCTGCATTGTCTATGTTACAGTGTATGTATACCTGCACTGTGCAAATGTTTTTATCTGCATTATCAACATTATATACCTGCACTGTACATCGTTTGTATACCTGTACTACTTATGTACTGTGCCATGTATACCTGCACTATCTCTGACAAATTTTTTATACTTGCACTGTCTATGTACACATGCTGAATCAATGTATATACTTGAATGATTATATTGCTGAAAAAATACATACATACATATCTATTTATCTATCTATCTACGCTTCTACAGCGACTACAGGTCAGGGTGGTCACAAGCCAATGTCAGGTCAGGTCAGGGTAGCTAGATCACATTACAATACAGTTAAACAAACATTCTATACCACAACGGTAGCGTAGATAACAGTCGAGAAGAACGATAACTTAACATATAAACAAAAATACTGAAAAGGTAAAATATGATAAAGAGCGGATAGTGAAGAAATACTATACCGATGAAGATGATAAACAGGGTAGAAATACACCGAGATATGTATTAATAAACTAATGACCTAAGTGTGTATTATTTATGGATTAATATATAACGCTTCTCCTTAAAGTATTTGAGTGTTATTTATGGATCAACACTTGATTTGTAAAATAACACTATGTATTATTTTTTGGGATAACACTTAACGCTTCTAAATATATTGTTTGTACTATTTATTATTATTATTATTATTATTATTAATATTATTATTATTATTATTATTATTATTATTATTATTATTATTATTATTATTATTATCAAACGACACTCCTCCACCCTTCCTGCCCCTCCTCTACCCTCCTTGCCCCTCTTGTATCCTGCCTGCCCCTCCTCCACCCTCCCTGCCCCTCCTTCACCATCCCTTCCCCTCATCCACCGTCCCTGCTGCTCCTTTACCCTCCCTGCCCCTCCTCTACCCTCCCTGCCCCTCCTCTACCCTCCCTATTCCTCCTCCACCCTTCCTGTCCCTCCTCTACCCTCCTTGCCCCTCCTGTATCCTGCCTGCCTCATTCCTCCACCCTCCCTGCTCCTACCCACTCCTTTACCTCCCTCCTCCTCCTCCACCCTCCTGCCCCTCCTTCACCATCCCTTCCCCTCATCCATCCCTGCTGCTCCTTTACCCTCCTCTACCTCCCTGCCCCTCCCTCTACCCCTCCTCCTCTACCCTCCCTGCTCCTCCTCCCCTCCTTGCCCTTCCTCTACCCTCTCTGCCCCTCCTCTACCCTCCCTGCCCTCTCTTCCTTGCCCCTTCTCACTCTGCCTCTCCTCACCCATTACCCTTCCCTCTCGCCCTGCCCCTCCACCCCACCCCCTCGCCCCCCCGCCCCTCCCTCGCGCCTGACCGAGCACCTCCCTCCAGTATTATTTAGAATTTTAGATGCTCATTTGATCCTCATTTTCCAGGCTGATTAACTTGTGCCTCGCGCTGGGAATCTCTCTCAGACACATTCTCAAAGCCACATCTGACTGGCTGACTTGCGATACGACACAGAGGGGATCACCTGAAGATTAGTCCTCTCAACTTATTTCACATGATAATAAATAGCGCTGCCTGGGGAGTTAAGTTAGGATAGGTTAGCATTAGGGCATTAGGGTGGTTAATCTTAAGGTGAAATAACCTGGAGTTGAACTTCTTCACGAGATCCTTGTTTTTCCACGTCATCAGGCATTTAAATTCCATCTGATTGGCTGACTTGTGATACGGTACAAGCATTGTTGGCAAATTTCATTAGCATTACAGTGTGAAAATGAAAAATATGTAATTAAGTAAACAATGCAACACGGAACCTTTGATAATTCGCAATATGATGAAACAAGAATAAATTTCCCAAAACAGGTCTACAGTATGTATTTGTTCGTATAAATATAACTGTATAATAAACTAATATGTAAGCCTATAGTATGTTTGATGAGAAGATAACCCAGAGAGGAAGTGGTGTACAGTGTGAGTGCGTGGTGAGGGTGTTAGAACCTTGTTGAGAAGTGTTAGCTGGGCGGGGTGAACGTCATTCATGGAGGCGGGTGGCTGTCAATCTTGGAGGCTGGTGGTTGTCAATCTTAGAGGCGGGTGAATGATCTCCTGAAGGCTGGGGTGACTGTCACTCCTGGAGACGGGGTGACTGCCACTCCTGAAGGCGGGTGACTGTTGTGTTCTCAAAGTGTTAAGAAGCTCTAAACAGTCATTCAACTAAAGTGACAATGACGATACTCATATTAACGCACCTCCACACACACACACACCACCACCACCTTGTGCGGGCGATCATTGTGACTCTCCACATAGATCCTCAAGTGTATCAGTACCAAGTAATCAGTTAAGAAAAGAGAGAAGACACACGGTGAAATAAATAACATAAATCATTGATGTTTACGTAAATGACACAAATACCTGTACGTGTTATACTTATTCTCTCAAAACAGTATCCGAGGATTTAAGATTATTTTTGAAGAGCATTATAGGTGTTGTAAGTTAAAGGTCCAGTGGAAGAGCATTATAGGTGTTGTAAGTTAAAGGTCCAGTGGAAGAGCATTATAGGTGTTGTAAGTTAAAGGTCCAGTGGAAGAGCATTTATAGGTGTTGTAAGTTAAAGGTCCAGTGGAAGAGCATTATAGGTGTTGTAAGTTAAAGGTCCAGTGGAAGAGCTTTATAGGTGTTGTAAGTTAAAGGTCCAGTGGAACAGCTTTATAGGTGTTGTAAGTTAAAGGCCCAGTGGAAGAGCATTATAGGTGTTGTAAGTTAAAGGTCCAGTGGAAGAGCATTATAGGTGTTGTAAGTTAAAGGTCCAGTGGAAGAGCATTATAGGTGTTGTAAGTTAAAGGTCCAGTGGAAGAGCATTATAGGTGTTGTAAGTTAAAGGTCCAGTGGAAGAGCTTTATAGGTGTTGTAAGTTAAAGGTCCAGTGGAAGAGCTTTATAGGTGTTGTAAGTTAAAGGTCCAGTGGAAGAGCATTATAGGTGTTGTAAGTTAAAGGTCCAGTGGAAGAGCATTATAGGTGTTGTAAGTTAAAGGTCCAATGGAAGAGCATTATAGGTGTTGTAAATTAAAGGTCCAGTGGAAGAGCATTATAGGTGTTGTAAGTTAAAGGTCCAGTGGAAGAGCATTATAGGCGTTGTAAGTTAAAGGTCCAGTGGAAGAGCATTAAAGGTGTTGTAAGTTAAAGGTCCAGTGCTATAATATATCATACTCTGTTGACTGCCAATTGAAACAGGATTAGGTAGCCTTTTATGGGAGGTGTGGTGAGGGAGAGACTGAGGGAGATAATGTGTGTGTGTGTTGGTGTAGGGGATGGTGGAGGGTGTGTGTGGTGGGTGTTGGTGTAGGGGATGGTGGAGGGTGTGTGTGGTGGGTGTTGGTGTAGGGGATGGTGGAGGGTGTGTGTGGTGGGGTGTTGGTGTGGGGATGGTGGAGGTGTGTGTGGTGGGTGTTGGTGTAGGGGAGGGTGGGAGGTGTGTGTGGTGGTGGGTGTTGGTGTAGGGGGTGGTGGAGGGTGTGTGTGTGGTGGGTGTTGGTGTAGGGGGTGGTGGAGTGTGTGTGTGGTGGGTGTGGTGTAGGGGTGGTGGAGGGTGCGTATGGTGGGTGTTGGTGTAGGGGGTGGTGGAGTGTGTGTGTGTGTGTGTGGTGTGTGTGGTGGTGGGTGTGGGGGTGGTGTGTGTGTGGTGGTGTTGTGGTGTGTGTGGGGGTGTTGGTGTGGGGTGGTGGGGGTGTGGTGGGTGGTGTGTGGTGTGGGGGTGGTGGGGGGTGTGTGGTGTGGTGGGGATGGTGGAGGGGTGTGTGGTGGGTGTTGTGTGGGGAGGGGTGTGTGGTGGGTGATGGTGTGGGGATGGTGGAGGTGTGTGTGTGGTGGTGTGTGGGGAGGGTGTGTGGTGTGGGGAGGTGTGTGTGGTGGGCGTTGGTGTAGGGGATGTGGAGGGTGTGTGGTGGTGGGTGTGTGTGGGTGTTGGTGTAGGGGAGGGTGTGTGTGGTGGGTGTTGGGTGTGTGGGGTGGGTGGGGAGGGGTGTGTGTGTGGTGTGGTGTGGGGTGTGGAGGGTGTGTGTGTGGTGGGTGTTGGTGTGTGGAGGGGTGTGTGGTGGGTGTGTGTGGGGGGTGTGGTGGTGTGGGGATGGTGGAGGTGTGTGGTGGGTATTGGTGTAGAGGATGGTGGAGGTGTGTGGTGGGTGTGTGGGGGAGGGTGTGTGTAGTGGGTGTTGGTGTAGGGGTGTGTGTGGTGGGTGTTGGTGTAGGGGAGGATTATGGGAGTGTGGTGGTCACGTGCCCACTAATAGTTTCCCGCCCCGCGCTCCCAGACTCTTAATCTTCCTTATTTTACACAAAAATATTACTCGCAATAAATACCAAAAAAATATAATGCAGTAAATAAACAAAGATATTCTCAAAGACAAACGAATGAGAATTACATAATATACATAAATATAGTGAAGAAAATACACACACACACACAGTGAAATGAGCATCACCTGGGTTTAAGGCAGCAGGCGCAGGATCTGAAGCACCGAACGCTGGTCAATAGTGAGGCAAGATGGTGGGTGGGTGAGGGAGGTGGTGAGATGGATATGAGAGGTGAGGTAAAGGGGGAGGGGAGAGAAGGGGGTGGGAGAAGGGAGGATATGATTTGTGAGGTGAGAGGAGAGAAGTTCTGTAAGGTGAGGGGAGGCGTGAGGAAGTGGTGAGGGGAGGTGGGGGAGGAAAGATGCTGGAGGAACCTGTGAAATGAGAGGAGAGAGAGAGAGAGAGAGAGAGAGAGAGAGAGAGGAATAGAAAATGGTGTCAAGTACAAGACGATAAGGAAGAATAGTAAGATAACAAGTAGATAATAATAACAAAAGGAAACAGAGAACTTATAATGAAGATGAGAATATGGGAAGAACGAAGAAGAGAATGATAAAGGAAGGGAAAAACAGAAGCCAGTAATGTCATCTTGTACAGAACGTAATGATGAACTTGTTATAAGGTAAGAAATATCGTTAACCACCTCCTTCTCTTACAACTACTACTAGTACAACTACTACCACTACTACTACTACTACTACTACTATTACTACTGCTACTACTACTGATGCATAAAACGCATACATTAATCTCATTCAATTGCCTCAGGGAACTAAACCTTCCTTTTACAGGAGAGGTTAAGGAAACACAAGTTCAATAATCTGTAATACTCAAAAGATAAAAGTCATACAAACTCTCAAAGACTAGATAATAAATTGAAATACTAATTAAGTTATCAAAAACCAACCTAATAGCGCAATTATAACAAAACAAGACTTGCTCTCAACGCCCAATAATAATCTCTTCAGTAAGTCACATGTGCCAAACTGATTTCCAATTCATGAGATATTTGTGCTGGTGACCATAATCCCGGCGTTAAGGGCTGCTCCGGCCGCACTATCATAATTGAAGAGCGTAATAACCAGCAAATTGCGTCCATAATACCCATGGGAAACAGTTTTATATTCCATGAGAATCTAATATGTCATTTAAAATCAATACGCTTCCCTCATATTTGTAAACATTGACCAATCTCCATACACGTGTCACCCCCGTTGGTCTCCCATTGGTCGGGGAAGCGATGTCTGATAACGCTTAACCACGGGATTGGCTGTCGGCGTTTCAGCCCCGCCCACCCGGCTCTTCCCTTTGTCAACAATGGCTTTCCTGGTGTCATGGCCGGTGAGGGGAAACTGGTAAGTGAATCTGGTGTGATTGTTTCCGTGGCTTTTGTGTCAAGTGGTGGGGTCAGGTGACGAGGACCTGACCAGGAGGCCTACACGGGGAGGTGACGTGTTGGTGACGGTGACCGAAGGAGGGTGGCGAAGGACTCCTTAAGCTGTAGTCACAAAGGATTATAATTACCCCCAAGGAAGACTATACACTCCTGCCGGCCAGATGATGGACAAGGTGACACACACACACACACACACACACACACACACACACACACACACTCCTGCAGTTAATTTAAAGGCCAGGAAAATATAAAAGTCAATTAGAAAAAAAGAGAATTTGGATAAGAAAGGAAAATCAAAGAAAATTAAGAAAAGGAAAAATGAGCTTTAATAAATGAGAAAATCAGAAATAGGAAGTGAAAGGACAAATGGAGAATTGGTATAAGGAAAATCGAGAACTGGGAAAATAAGTGAATTATTGATGAAAGAACATCGTGCAGACGTGTAATGGCAGAAACCGTAGACTGTTCGCGAAATGTTACAGTCAGGTTTCTTTAAGAATTCTTAACATCATCACTGTATACACCAAATACACCGATATACACTAAATTGTTTGTATACCTGAGCTATGTAAATTGTCTATAACTTTGCGGTTTATGGTGAAATACTGTGGACTTGTGCGACGGTTTTATTGAATATCTATCAATCTATCCTTGACATATTGTTAGTCATGACAAACGTGGCCTCGACCGCCCCTCAAGACATAACACAGCCAAGCCACCAGCGCTTGTGTTCCTTCGTCAGTAGCCACATTAACTATACAGTAGATACATTTACTTAGCTCAGCACCTACAGTATACTAGAAGCATAAAAAAATACGATATTCTGTACTTTATTTTAGTTTTATTTTAGTTAAACCAAACAGGTGGATTATTACATAACTCACCATGAGGAATATTATTCGTACATACACCCATCAAAAAGTATCGCGACCCTTGCTGTATGAACTTTACCTTCTGGAACAGGATGAAGTATTTTGCTTAAGCCAGTTTCTTATCAATATGTAATTAAAGTACAATAAGTACGGTAATATACATACTTCGGCATATCACAGAAGTAGGCATTGTCTTATTCTATACAATTCAGGGTGGCCATATTTACAATAATTTTCAAACGTTCAAGAACCATAAGACGCGCGTGAACTTTACACACACAGGTTCTATTATTGCTACACACATATATATTATATTACATAAAAAGTTATATGTATATTTTAATAAGAATATGAATATGCACTAAAATTTATTGGTGTAGTACGTCCTGTTTTAAGATAGAGGATTTGTGTTAACTTCAATATTTATAAAGTTAATGAGTTACCTTTAACTGTATGTAACATGTTTATTAATAAACAAATGTATAACACAAATCTATATGATCACATGAATGATGCACAACGAGAGAACTGAAACGAGAAGATAAAACAGGATTAAAAATACAGTTCTCGTGATACTATTTACAGTAGTTATCTTAGTACTGTACAGTATTTGATCAGGACTTGGGGTATTGGAGGAGGAAAAAAGACAAACTTCAATACAGTGGAATAATTCTTTTAAATAATTACCACCTTATAAAACTATTATCATTATAATGTTCATTAAGTAGGAAGTTACTGGGTGTCATCAGGGCTAATTACTTTTACAGGAAAAAGCCTTGTAGGTTTCCATCCTGGTCATACGGTTGGTCTCTGGAAATCCGGTTATGTTATCTAGGCAGTCAGCTGTTAATTTGTAAGGACTGATCCATGTTTCGATTTTACAAGATTCATCATGGAGCATATAGCTATTTACAGTAGTGTGTTGTGCCCAAAATTGAAATGAAGTCACTCTTAGTTTACTAGGGTCAAGGTTAGTGTACTCCACTAACACTGAAGATGTTTCTGTTACCAGAAGAGTGAGAAAATAACATTCCCTTCAACTTTATGTGTTTTTATCCCAAAAGTGTAAATCCTTCACCTGATTTGATTTATTCTTGAGGTAAAATGTAAGTTTTCTCCTATAGTTTTTTTGTTAGGTTGCTGGTTAACCCTGAACCTTTCCTAGAGTATACTGTAAAAAAAAATCCTCCACTCTCGTTATTGTACTGTAAAAAAAACCACTTTATCTTCCGTTCTCATTTTTTTCCTTGCTGATATACCGCGTACCAGATTCACACTTAGAACTCGCTATATGTATTAGAATATTCATTTACCTGTATAACCTTAATTCTTTTAAAATCATTACTATTCGTTATTGTGTCGTGGGGACTGTGAACGGAGGATATGTGATAAAAACGGAGGTTTATCATGGAGATGGGCGTACACAACTACGACCTATATAGTTGACTGCGGCCTCCATTCCATACTTCTCCTTCTCCCACCCCCGCCTACACATATACAGTACAAATCATTGGTTGAAATTAAATATACTTTCAAGAAATAAGTCCCCTAAAACAAAGAATTAACCTACACTCGCTTCCATACTGTCTACATGTGGCTGTATACAGTACTTTCTGATGAATTTATGACAGTAGATAGGAGATATGTATCTATACTATTGTATTATATAAGCATAACAATGGAAACACTATCATATCTTCACAGTTGTCATATCTCCCTCAAAACCTTCATCTATATCTCGTATAGTGTTTGTATATTCATGACACTTATTTAATACCCGTGATGTTTCAGGTGGAAGACGAGAACTCGCCACCCGGGCTGGGGGGGTGTATGGGTGGGTGTGTGGGCGGGTGTGTGGGTGGGTGTAGCGGCGGCGACAGCAGCGACTTAGACCTGGGTGACGACCTGTCTGACGACACCCGCGATTCCACCACCGACGACGACACTCCCGGAGGAGGCACCGCTTACACCTCCAATCCTCACCACTCCCGCTACCTCTCCTGGCGACGCTCACACGGTTAGTATATACGCACACACTCATACACTCATATGTACACTATAACTTACACACTCATTAATATGCTTATATATATATATATATATATATATATATATATATATATATATATATATATATATATATATATATATATATATATATATATATATATATATATATATATATATATATATATATATATCTTACACACAACACACACACACTCATACATCAGGATAGGCCCAGGTCCTTTCTTTACCTTCACAACTTTACACTTTATATTCATTCCTCTCCTCTATGATAAGTGTTTATTGAGTCAGGAGAGGCATGTGTTCAATTGTTAATATCTCGAGGTGAAAACAATTTTCAATAAATACCTGATGTAGTTTTCTACACCTCGACTTATAATTATCGAAACTCATCCGAATAAATATGTGGTACAAAAATATATTTTTAATTGATAGGGAGGCACCGATACCCGTTTTTACCGATACCGATATTTTATACTGATACTGATCAAACAGACAAAAGGATGAGTGGATAATATTAAAAATATTAATGGGCAAAGTCGAGGGTAGAAGGAGAGGGGAAAGCAAAGACTGTGACGAATGAATGAAATTTAAAGCTGGGTCCCCAGTGAGATGCAAAATCTCAGAGGATTGTTAAAAAAATAATACTAACAAATAAAGCGTCTGGAGCGCATGGAGGGCTGTGGTCGCCAACCTTCAGATTGGCGGATTGAGTGACCGATACCTATAGATTCAGTTTATTATGTTAAACTCTTCCCTGGGATTTGAAACTTACGCTCTAACACAGATTTAGAAAGAAGACCATATAAACAAAGATCTAAATTGTTACCGTAAATATTCTGCCGAGAATTCTCCCTTGACGCCGCTTGTTGTCGTCTGCTCTTAAACTAAAAATTTGTGAATCCGGTGTTTGTAAATATATACAAGTAACGACGGAGGCTCTCAGTTGAGGTTTTGTTACAATAAATATTGGCTTGGTTGTCTTTTGTTTTAAATTTTATAGGCTTCACTTATCCTGGTTTTCCTGTTTATAACCTGTGCATTTTTTTATTTTGGATTAGAATCTCATATTATGGGTTTGGATATATTTTCAGCTTCTTTACCTTTACTTACATTTATTCTCTTCGCCACTGATCTGCCTTCTTTAACTTATACACTTTACGAGCTGATTGTGTTAGCAAGTTACTTGTAGTGAAAGGAGAATGAGTGTGTGGAGGGAGGGTTCCCTGAACAGTTCAACTGTTTATGACAAAGCGTGGTAGGTCTTTAATAATGTCAAGGGCCAGGTCTGTCTCTATTATGAGGGATATTTGATCAGGGAGGGACGATGTGGAAGGGATGGCTGGGCCGCTGGGGACCTGTCGGCGGAGGTCTTACCGTCTCAGGGAATGCGAGTATATAAGAGAGAGGGTATGTGAGTCGAGTCTCCTGCATAGTTCACAAATATATATATATATATATATATATATATATATATATATATATATATATATATATATATATATATATATATATATATATATATATATATACATATATAGTGCGGCCAGGCTCAGGGCGTACACACAGTGAGACCTAGTCAGCACTTCTCAATGTTTCAGATTTGTTTCGTGTTCGTCGAAAAGTCTCACGTTCGGCGGTGTGCATTCGAGACAAGCGTAATATTCCCGAGATATTTCCCCTTTCATCTTCCAGTGACCTTGACTTTAAATTTGGTAGAGAGCGCTTTTTCTACAGTGATGACAAATATGCATATACAAGTCCTGTACCCATACAAGTTGTGACCTTAATATTCATCATATCATAATACGCAATTTACCCTTTAAATTTTAATTAAATCCGACTAAACTGTAGGATTACAGTAAATAGGTTTAAAATCTTTTCGGGATGAATAGACGGAAGAGGGGGTAAAACGACTGATGTGCTGCTTCCTCTAAATATAATACAGAACCCTTAGCACAAGTACCACGTGTCTCAATGGTAGCAATATAAAATAATGAATCCTTACCCTAGATAAAATGCATATAAGCTAATCCCTAATTAACAGGATAATTTGTTTAGAGTAATCCCGTTGAGTGAAAATCCTCTTATGCAGGAAATCTTCGTTTAAAATTTCTTTCATATTTAGGATAATTTTACCTCTTGATATTAACAACCTACTAGAGTACTCCAAAACATTAATAATATTGTTGACCAACCAGAGCACCGTTATGATAGTACCTGTATATTTATTTCGTTTTGTTCTATCTCTATAGAAATCAATATAGTTCCGTGGTTGTACTCTACTGAATGTCTACGATAGCCTAGTATTCAAAATTTGTATGATTTAGCTGTAGCAGTCAAAACTTTGTTAACATTCGTTATAGGACCGCCTACGGTTTAATACTTGGGATATTTCTTTTCGTTTCCAAAATTAAAACAATAAATCTATATATTCTGGTGTGTTTTGGGTTTTCTATTGTGAGTTTAACTTGCCTTCTTGAGAGCAACTGCAAGGCTATTATACCGTTGCCTTCTTCGCCTTGAGATGTTTATGTATGACACTAGCCACGTGGATTATCTTTTTTTTTTTATCCTTCAGTAATTTAAGGTAAGAAAACTGAGTGAAATCAGCTTCCTGGGTTAGTTTAGGTTGGGTTGGTAAGGTTTCCATGAATTTCATTTGTTTCTGGGTTAAGTTGATTCACAAGGGATGACTTGCATATTCCTTATAGTATATTTGTTGAGGAAATTAATATGAAATACATTCAAAACACGTTGGAATATACAGGAAAAACATAATTTCATCCATAAAAGTCGTGGGTGGTCCTAAAAACAAATACTGACCCAAAATTAAAAAGTTCAAGCCTTATATTTTCGACAATATACCAGTATCTTACTCATTCCATACATATTATTGATACTCTGATGTCAATTAACTAGCATTTCTGAAGTGTGGATCGTTATAAATACTAAATGCATCATATAAAGAAAGAGCTCATAAAAACTAATGAAGTCAACATTGACATAATTATAAGTTTCCGACTCACCACTCTGGATCCTTCGGAAATCGGAAGAAATACAAATTTCTGTTCCTTTTGGTGTTGTTGGAGCAATTTATAGTTGCACAGTAATCGTTTCCTATTGTAGATGGTAAAATATATTTGCACAAGATAATAAAAACATTGAATTCGTCGACTCAAATGGAAGGAAGCAGAAGTCCATGAGGTGCATACGCCTTAAAAACAAAACAATAACGAGATCCGCCAAGCCTTAACTAATTTTCACGAGTAATTTTCAATAATCATAATCCCTATTGTTCTATAATATAATACCTAAACTAAATATTAATGTTTACTGTCGTAACAGTAAATTAGATAATGTTTCGACAGACCTGTAGTGCCGATAATTAATATATAGCTAACAGTTTTGATGTTCTTTGCAGGTTCAGGGTGTGATGGCGGGGAGAGTGAAGGGGGCGTGGTGGTGAGCGAAGCAGGGTCAGGGGAGGAACGAAGTGTTGGTGGGCCTCAGCGCACCATCAGGAAGGTTTTCACAAACACCCGTGAGCGATGGCGACAACAGAACGTGAGTGGCGCTTTTGCAGAGCTGCGCCGCCTCGTCCCAACTCACCCCCCAGACAAGAAACTCTCCAAAAATGAAATCTTGAGGCTGACGATCAAATACATTAAGCTACTTAACTCAGTATTGGAGTGGCAGCAGAGACAAGACGACTCACTCTACCAGCAACACGACCACAACTGTAACAACAACAATAATAATAACAGTAATAACAATAGTAACAACCCAAGGAACGGCACCACCAGACCCGTCAACAGCCAGAGACGTTCTCCACTCTCCCCCCATGACACTTGCATCACCTTAGACACATCTCTCCGGTATCGTTATCTTACACTTCCTTCCTCTCCCTCCTCACCCAACTCTCCTCATCCAGCATCATCCAACTCCTCTACGTCATCTTCACCTTCTCCTCTGTCTTATTCTTCTCCTTCAGGTCTTCGTCGCTCGCCACTTCCCGTCATACATTCACAGCCATCAATACCCTCCACCACCGCCTCTTCTTCATCGCCGTCGTCTCCCACACTAGTGTCAGTGTCTTCGTCAGCAGCACAGTCGCCGCCCCGAGATGAAGGAGAATCGCCTACACCAAGGTTCCATCCCTATGTGCTAGCGGTGCGGGTACGACCTGGCCTCACCCTCCTCCACCCACACACCTAAATTCAACCTTACTTCCTAATCCATATACCTTTGTATACCGAAGTTTTTTCATCAGCAATACAACTAACCTAAATATATTTTATTTGTTGTTCATATCTAAATTATCCCAGCCTTGATAACCCCCACCCCCAAAAAAAATAATGCGTGCACATCACATTACGACACAATATAGAAGATGAAGGAAGTCATATGTATAGTTGCACAGTAACCTTTGTCGCATTTTTTTAAACTTTACTGTATATAGTTAAATATATTTACTCTTGTAGAAATTGAAGAACAATATAAGAATGTGTTTATTTCACGTCTGTAGTTAATAGAAATTATTTAAATTATGTTGCAGTTTCTTGCATTAATAGAAGTGCGGAACTGTAGCCTATAGTAAAATGTGCCCCGCCTTGTATATATATTTCCAACTGTGAAAAAAACTGACATGAAACTGAGAACTCTAGCCCGGCCTTGGTCATAATTATGTGGCTGTTAATAGACAGTAATTTCCGACATCCATCATCACTGTTATTTCAATTTACATTTTCAAATTATAAAACGCACACACACACACACACACACACATATATATATATATATATATATATATATATATATATATATATATATATATATATATATATATATATATATATATATATATATATATATATATATATATATTCACAGATTCAATTCTATTGTCTTTATCTGTGATTACTTAAAAGCTCAGACGACCTGCTACTGAGGGAGTTTCGCTTCTCAAAGATTCTTTAAACTTCTTTCCCTAAACTAGATTTGAAACGACGGCTAACTACTGCAGAGTAACTGTTCTTCCCATGCTATTTTAACTGTCATCTTTATCATACGATAAACCACACAGTCAGATGTGTTCTTAAGTCTCCAGTTAAGGAAAATTGATTATATTCGAATCATTGAGAACCCAGGAAGGAGCTAATATGTAACTATTTCAAATCGGGGAATTCTTTTTCGACGACCCTGTATAATGTATATGTGTATTTGTTTGTATAATGTAAATAAAAGTTAAAAAATAAATTATCTTGATTAATTTAACAAGTTCCTTCTTAGTAAAACAACGAGCCTCTAACTAAAATCTGTTGATGTTTGTTTTGTGTTCAGAAATCCCAGCTCCGAAAAGTGTTCTATATTTAAACAAGATGAGAAGGAGGCTCCAAAGTTCTCTCTTACCCAAGACACTAAATAAGCCACAGGTGAGGCGTCTGAAAAAGCTAAAGAAAAGACAAATGGGTGCTACATGAAGTTTCTTTAAAAGTAGCGGCTGCTGGCTGGTCAAAGAAGACCCTGAATAGTGATTTGATAATACTAAAGAAGTTTTGAAGTGACGAATAATTAGAAATATGTCACCGTTTATGTGTTATATTTTAAATTATTATTGTTTCACGATTTATTTAAATTTTTACTTAAAATAATATGAAGCTCATTTGAGCACTAATCCGGCCAGCGGCAGCACAGAGCACAGACAGATCCCCGCCAAACCGTTGTCCATTTCTATAGCAACAACCGAAATCCTGTTGCTTGCTGGGCCGTTTGGAGGAAAGTGCCCAGTGTGCCGCCACCTGACTCATCCGTTCAGCCTCAAGGGTGGCCGAAGGGACAAATAGTGATCATTGCTTCTAACACACCGGAAAACTGAAAACACTTGAATTTAAATTCAACAAATAAATCAAAGTAAGTATATTTTTTTTTCAACCAACAGTGTCACAGACTTTGAAGAGAGGCTGCAAGCTATGTGCTTTTGTTGCAGAACATAACCTGCCAATAGCTGTAATGGACCATACATTTATTGTACCTGGACTCGTTGCTAATGCATACCCAGGTTAAAAACTACAAGTGCAATGAAATGTTCTAGGGCAAAGTCAACAGGTATTGCTCGGAATGTTGATGAATCAGCTGTTCTGTCGACCATTAAGTATCTCATCCTCATAGCTCGTTTCCATGACATATCAAGAAAACACAAGATCATTTTTCAAGTTTATTAGAGGTTAAAGATTGCACAGCAGAAGGTATTTGCAGTTCTTTGGTTAATTTATTTGATATAAATGACATTCCTATTGACAATTTGATTGGATAATGCAAATGTTATGGTGGGAGGAAATGATGGTGTTAAATCCCTATTGAAAGTGAGAATTCCTGTTCTCTTTGTACAGGGCTGTGTATGCCGTAACCTGCATTTGTGTGCCTCTAATGCATGCACTGAACTTTCAAATTCCACATAAAAATTATGAAGGAAAATTTACTCATACATAATGAATAGCCCCAAAAGACTGACTGTACGCGTTGGCTTTTATTAGAAATGGTTGTAAAAATAATTTTGGATCAATGACCAGCACTTAAACTATATTTCATGTTAGCAGTACTTGAAGATGGTACATCTGCTGCTTCAGTATTGCAGAACTACATAACTCGGTCGCAAAAATATACTTTGCCTTTTGGCTTTTATTTTACTTGCTGTAAATAAGGGAAATTTAAAATTTCAAACAACACCCTTTAGAATACTACTGTAAACAGTAGTGTGACAGTCATTCTCAGTAACTATGAAAAGAGAAACTAAAAATTAAAAATGAAGCTAAAGGTGAAATTAATTCCAGTGATCCGCCAAACTATCTTAACCTCAGTGACATATATCTTTGAGCTAGAACAAAACATTTTGGAATATTCCTCTAAAATTTAAAAAAGCTGAAATTTCAGTTTTGTGAAACGGTGCAATGGAACCGGAAAAATTATGGAATGCCTTCAGAAAAAAGGTGTGGTGATCAACTAAGATTTCCCAATTTTTCAAGACTCATGTTGAATTTATTATCACCAGGCCAAGGTAAAAACTACTACTGCTGCTCTTATTCTGACACCATGGACAAGTATTTTTATTAGTTTTTTATTTTAACTAAAACAATGTTAGTATTATGGTTGCTACTGTTAGATGTGCACAATTGTTGGTAAACATTAAGGAGAGGGTCCGCCTTTTTTGTGTATGGGGGGGGTGCAGAATCTTTTCGGACACGTTTGTCGTAATGTGTAGGTAGATGCTTATCTAAAATGAGAAAGAAAAGAATTGGTATATGAAATATACCCGTATACAGTTTTCTTTCAAGAACTTTATGATCTTGCCTTCAAAACTCTCTCAGGGAGGCTGATATGAAGGTCTTAACCACTAATGATGACAGACAATACAAACAGACTAAGCAAAACTTAATGATTTTACATATCTAGTGATTTGATTAGGTTTGGTTAGATTGTCACCAATCGTCGCAGCCCCACATACTGTTGTCATTTCATAAGAAAACTCCTAAAAGGTAGTAATGTAGGTTCATAGTCTTTGTTTAATCCTCTCCCACCTAACAGGACTTTTACTTTTAAACAAACATCCTAGATATTATTCCAATAAATAACGTGGTATAAGTGGCGACTTTCTCTTTAACCTTTGCCAAGAAAATATAGGAGTAAAGCGGGATGGAAAGTTAATCTGATTTATTTTCCAGGTAGTTGAAAGTCAACAGCTCCTCGAGGGACCGTAGCACACCATAACACATTACACCTCAGGTATGTTCAAGTCAGTTTTATATATCAGCTATCGTCGTTTTTTAATTTGCTCGGGAGTCTTTGGTCTCCGCTAACTGAATAAGTCGTCGTTACCTCCCGTGTTAAGATCGGGATCACCTATGCTATATAAAGTCACTCGGGGAATTTACTTGATCCTGTGATTTACTAGATAGTGACTTGCGTATATCATTAACTCATCCTCCGAAAGTTTGAATTCCTTTATGGCATAAAGTTTATGCCATTATTACATGACCTTTTAAATCAGGGGTCCGCAACCTTTATACACTAGTCGGCCATTTTAATGGTGCACGTAAACAGAGATTGACCGCAGGTGTACTAAGCCAACGTAAGTCAGCAATGCGTTCCACAGAATTTAATGTAAAATCAGAAATGCAGGACTATATTTTATTGTCTGCAAAATGTTATAAAAAAAACACTGATATTTAAGACTAAACATAGTTTTAATTTTCAGCATATATATACTCTGCATTGAAATAATAGCACTATAATGGTCACTAGCCTAGTTAAATATTCTGTAAAGAAATTAGGGAAACATAACTTAGCAAAACAAAATATGGAAATGTGAAACTCTTGGAACAGTACAAAATAACGTTTTAATAACAGGTTCATACCCGAAATACAAGCAAACAGGAAATTGCTTTATACAGTAGCATTATGACATCCTGTAGTTACTTTGTAGTACACAGTACAATAACCCCCGCCCCCCAAAAATGATGTGATGTTATATTCAGGTAAAATAAAGTTTACTTTTTGCATAGGAAAATAAGGGCTTCAATTCTATATACAAATACAAGATCAATACCAAAACTAATGTAAGGGTTGAGCCTGGATGTGATTTGTAATTTCAGAAAAAAGTTTGATCAAAGTGTGTTACAGTAGCCTTCACACGTTCTGTACTTGTTCTTGACAAAGGTAAGCACACCGAATGTTTGCTCACAGCAGTATGTTGATCCAGCAATATGTTGATGTCCCTGCTTTTTATTTTCACCCATAATATATGGAATAATAACAGTCTTACCGGCCACAATGCCCGAAATTTAGACGTCACTCAGCCGGCAGAGAATACGTACGGTGGTACCCTTTTCCGGCCGCATGCGGCCGGAAAAAGGGGGTTGCGGACCCCTGTTAAATAATTTTCCATTGCAGTATCTGTAACACGCATCCTCTTAGAAATGGCATGTTGTGATTATCAAAGATCGGGTCCAGAGTGTATCAAAATATGCAAAAGTTATTTTTCATTGTATTTTTTGCAATATGGGAGTGAATCGACTCAGTCAGATCTTTGGATCCTTCCCTAAACGAGGAGGGCGTCTCTTAGTTATATGGTTCTTTCTTAAGCTAGGATTCCATTCACGCGTTTGCAGTGCATTTACGTTTTCAATCGCTACAGGGAGCGATTGGCATTTACTGCAAACGCATGACGCTAACGCAACTGTGCCAGTGGAAACAACCGTGTACATTTCAATGTGGTCTATTTTTGGCGCTATCGCAACCGCTAACGCGTAATGGAATCCTAGCTTTATTCTTCAAGTTTGTTATGGTCTTCCTCTCTCATGGCTGGTACTTATTTGAAGGAAACACAATATGCCTACTTAAATATCGTGTTTTGCCTTTCAAATATTTCGTCGTAAAATATGGTACTCATGCAGGCACAAGTTGCTCCCAGCGTTATCTTGTTCACCATAGGCTCTTCAATTTTTAGAGTCACTGATAAAGATGAAAACTTAAATTGATTTTTTTACTTGAATTCTGAAGCACTTGGCTGCATCCTCTTCAATCAGTCAAATTTGTTTTCCTCCTATGAGCAGAAACCATATACTCTTGCTGGTGGAAAATTATAGTTATCACTCCTGGGATGTTTACATTAAAGAAGTTTCTGGGTAGACAAACTCTCTTGAAATATTTGGATAGGTTGCTGGTTCACACCTTCAGGGCACTCCAAGTTCACCCAGCTTTTTTGAGTACCTAACTTTACAGCTAGGCAAAGTGAAGATGGTCAACTGCAGTGCCGGACAAAACAGGGATAGTTAAACAGTGCTGTATACCTACTGGCTGTAACAGTTCTTCAGGCTTGCGGGATTCATTTTCATAGATTTTGGCAAGATGGCAGCTTATTTCACTTGATGATTAGATACCCCAATATATTTCCCCTACAGATTAACCAGCCCAATGCTACTAGGGGAGATAGGTTAAGTTAGCGTGGTTGGGTTAGGTTAGAGTGGTTAATCGTCTGGTGAAATAAACTGGGGTGTCTAATATTCAGATGATCCTCATATAACTCAAAAGGATTTGGTTTATTCAGGTCAACGACCCACAACTGGGCCTCGGGGGCAAAAAATTAAGAGTAAAAATAAATTAAGAATAGAAAAGAAAAAACATATTAATCTACTGTACACCATGAAGATGACGGAAAACCAGCTTTTTAAAGTGAGACAGGTTGTATAAGTATGGAAACACAGAAGAAGGCAGAGCATTCCACAGTTTGGCTGTGTGAGGAAAGAAGGATGTACTATAACGGGTTATTCTAGTGTGACCGACAACCACAGAGAAACTGTGGGCACCGCGGGCAAGACGAGTGTTACGAGCCCACGGCCTTGCCGGCGGTACATAGGATGCCAAATCCACCGAACATTGTCCGTTAAAGTACCTGTAAAAGAGTGAGAGTGAAGCAACATTGCGGCGAAGAGAAAGGGATGAGAGATTGTCGACTAAAGGAGGAGAGTTAATAAGACGAAATGCCTTTGATTCCACCATATTTAACAGTTAGACAGAAGAAGAGCCACCCCGATATGAGAGCAGTACTCCAAGTTAAGACGAATGAATCCCTTATATACTTGAAGCATATACTGTAATTACTGTACCTCACATATACGATATATAGTGGTACAGGCATAAAGAATGATAAAATAGAAAAATAATGTTTAGTACAGTTTTGAGGACAATGTAGTTAGTTAGCATAAGGAAACCGATAGGTCACAGACACACGAGTCCGGGAAGAAGAAATTTCATAAAAGACTTAGATAAGTGACGAGAGAGAGGTTCATATGAAGGGTTCAAAGAGTGTGTGTGTGTGTGTGTGTATATATATATATATACATATATATATATATATATATATATATATATATATATATATATATATATATATATATATATATATATATATATATATATATATATATATATATATATATATATATATATATATATTATGTAATACAGTTATGCTACACTTGTACACTTGAACCCATGTCTTCTCTCTTGTTTTGTGTGTATGTACAGTCTCGTTCAAGATTCTCCAGGTGTGTCTATTATCAGTCTGGTGTCGTCAAACGTGATGAACAACAGCGGCACGATGGCGAGGAATGTGGATAATACTAGTGTGTAAGTCATCCACAGATAACCTGCAAAAAAATTACTTTAAGAATATGTAATATATATAAGCGACAGATACACAAAATTACATTCAGTGTTGTGTAAGTCACTATAGAGGTTACGTAATGAGATAGTTAACAGTAGGAACTCCTAGGTCATGACTTACCAACATTAGGAATGAAGAAGACCAAGAGGAACATGACAGTGCCGATGTTGTCCACAGCTGTCATGACGCCAGCACTAAGGATCTCTGGCACGGGGTAAGCCAAGTCGATCCCCACCTCGAAGAACAGCGGGAAGGTAGCCGCGTTGAAGGCATTCCCCCCTACCACTGACATATACACCTGCCCTGTAGTGTAAGACGATACTACATGAGCTGATAGTTAAACAATGATATTGTGTTTCTCAGGAGTTTGACTGCTCCATTTTGTTTCTCTACTTATATAATTGTGTTCATATTTTGAATAGCTGGAAACAAACAGGAAATAGCTCACAAGTTGTAACAGGTAAAATTTCATAGGAGAGGAGATGGAACCAGTAGTAACAACCAGCGGAGGCCGCCAATAAGACACAGAGCAGTAACCTAATATGGCCATGCATCAGGTCATTGATACGCCCCACGATAACAGGTAATACACTGGCCGCTATCACACTAGTCACACCGATCCACATGGCGTCTTTCTGGAAGTAGATGACAGAAAGTCTCCCAGCAGTCTTAACCTCTGCTATGAGTATTGATGAAAAACAAACATATTTATAAATTAAATAAATATGCCTTTCCTCACACAGTTAAAATAATAGGTTATAGATGACAAGATCGAAATTACTTTAATCTGAATTAGTATCTATATCATCGATAATTTTCTTTGTTACCAGATATGGACTGAAGTTGTCAAGTGCTGCTTTCTTTTTGGTCAAGAACTGAGAGCTGAGACTGTAGTTACTTCACTAGTTGGTACTTGACTGATCATAAAATTAGTGTGATATTGATAATTTTTATATTCGTAGTCTAACGAGCCACTGTAGTTTACTGAAAATATTGGGTGGAACCTACGTATTGTATAATAGGTGTTGACATGAGGCCACAGGGTAAATGTTTGTTAACTTGGCACAGAAGTAGCTTGTTATTTATAGTCCCTGTACACTGAGTTATTTCTCCCTCCATTATAGACAACTAGTGGCACTTCACAAACTAAATCTATTTTCGTTTTTTTTTTTTTTTTACTTCAGAGTCTCTGGGGCAGAAGACAAGATGTTTGTCCTCTGTTAACTTCCAGGGCATCACATGCAACATACACTATTCTCGTACAACAATCTCATAAGAAACTCGTTCTGATTCTGAGAATATTAACTAAAAATGTCTCACTTGCATAGTGTTTACACATACACTATGCAAGTTGGTGAGCCCATCATGGCATACTTGTATAAAAACTTCCAATACTTTATTATTCCTCGTCAAGGAAATAATTTTTTGAATTTTATTATGCAGTATAAGGTCTCAATAAGCTTGTGCATGAACACACTGGCTTATAGAAAATTAAATCCTTGATGTTTCACTAATTTGAGGTTAATGTTTATTTAGCAACAGTTGTGATCTTACCTGGTGGAAGCCAAGAGGCAGAAGCGAGAAATCGAGCACAGTAAGCCAGCCTACAGCAGGCCCGATAGCGAAGCCATATGCGATTGTCAGCGCCGTGAACTGTTTGTTTCTGGTGGATATATTTACATGTTGCTTACTTTCAATAATTTTCCCCGCCAATACACACCAGACTAATACTCTTCAACCACATAACTTATACTATAAACGACGTAACCAGCACACATACAGCTCTCACTCTATCCCCAGGAACATGGGGTGGGGGAGGAATTGGAATTTTGTCACGTACAGCGGCTAGTTTATTGTGTACTCCATCTCTCCTGTGAGCTGTAGCGCAAAAGGATTGCAAAGTTGAGGTTACAAAAGGTGTGTATAACAGATCCAAGTGGTCAGGATATTATAGCATTGAATGTTATTAAGTAATTCAAATATATTGCTTGTTTAGTTCTGTACATAGAATGTGATTTATTCACAACTGCGTGAGTACAGCAGTGTGAGGCAACATGCCTTGTCACACACTTTGTTATTCTCAACTGCGTCAGAGGTCAAGCACATTATGTGTTTCGTTCTATACACAGGAATTGCCTATCGCTACTAAATGCAACAAGTGGATACAATCTTAATGTCAGCCATTTTGCCATTAGAGATAAGGTGTTGTGCCATTTCACACAGTGCACTTGACATGGATCTGACCCTGAAATGTTCTATCATCACACAGTCAAGGACGTAGTGTTGGAGTGTGTGGCCACACACTTTGCGTTTAGTTTTGTTCACATCTGCTTGAGGGACTTACTGCCAGAGGTACTTATATCCTAACCTTAGGCTAGCACCTTTTCTCTTATGAACTTAATAAACGGTCACGACTCTGTTTAGTATCAAGTTTATTCGGATCACCTGAAAACTCACCCCACAAATTAATTCACTTGAATATTAACGACCCTCACGCTAAACTAATGTAACCTAACCTAACTTACCCTAATCTAATCTATCCTAACTCCCCAGGTAGCGTTAGGGTGGTAAACTTCAGGTAAAATAAGCTGGGACGAATCTTAAAATAAATATAAATATAAAAAAACACAAAACACCAAGCAGTATCTTATCAAGTCCTGTCACTTAATAATTACTGGAATTTATAATGAACAAAAAAAATTACTCGAATGTGTTTAGAGGTAAATTCATATAACTTACTTGAAGAGAGAAACAACACCAGGGATGAATTTATGTCGTTCAGTGGAAATGCTGACGGAGGGAGGGGTGGGAGGCTTGGCGGGGAAGTACACCATTACCGCCAGCAAGAGGACTCCTGACACACCCATACCTGACCAAAAATAGATGAAAGTTTCTTAAACATTAGTATCTATCTATATGAAACAAAGAAGTCTGTTTGTTTGTGTGTCCGCACGAGAATCTCGGAAACTACTTTACCGACCTGTAGTGATGATGGATGGTGTTATATGTAGTGATGATGGATGGTGTTATATGTAGTGATGATGAATGATGTTATATGTAGTGATGATGGATGATGTTATATGTAGTGATGATGGATGTTATGTGTAGTGATGATGGATGGTGTTATATGTAGTGATGATGGATGGTGTTATATGTAGTGATGATGGATGATGTTATATGTAGTGATGATGGATGTTGTTATATGTAGTGATGATGGATGGTGTTATATGTAGTGATGATGGATGGTGTTATATGTAGTGATGATGGATGGTGTTATATGTAGTGATGATGGGTGGTGTTATATGTAGTGATGATGGATGGTGTTATATGATGATGAATGATGTTATATGTAGTGATGATGGATGGTGTTATATGTAGTGATGATGGATGGTGTTATATGTAGTGATGATGGATGATGTTATATGTAGTGATGATGGATGTGTTATATGTAGTGATGATGTGTTATATGTAGTGATGATGGATGGTGTTATATGTAGTGATGATATGATGTGTGATGATGGATGGTGTTATATGTAGTGATGATGGATGGTGTTATATGTAGTGATGATGGATGATGTTATATGTAGTGATGATGGGTGGTGTTATATGTAGTGGTGATTAGACAATAAAATAATAACAGTTTAATGCTAAAAAAATATACTTTGCTGTAATGTTGTAGTGAAAAACATGGTGGAACTTACATACACCGTTAATGAACTATTGATGGAAGAAGAAGTTTTGGGGACTGAACAGTGAGACAATATGGAGCCTCCCGGAGGAAGGAGTCCAACCGTGGCCTAGCGAATGAGCCGCCCGGAGGGCGGCGTTTCTGCTAGTTTTATATAGATAAACATGGATTTCTAAAACTTATACAGTATTAATATATTGTAGTTCAATAGCAGGAAACTATGTGACTCATGTTTACAAACTGAGACTCGTCCAACAGTCGCTCCAGGTGACAAAATCACTGGGTGAAACAAAGGTTTGTGAAAAGCAACACAAAGGGACCTAAAACCTAAACTATAATAGTCAGTTGTGAAGTCCTGTATCGGCAGGGAAATGTGCAGTACAGGAAAAAGACATAAAACCATGAACTCTGGTTCTGCTCAGGTTTCTAAGTTATACACTAGCTACTAGGTTGTCATGACACCATAACCTATTGTATATCTAAACTCTTCCAAGATTTCAACACTTCTACCAAAAGCAGAGATGACTGGTCATATAGTCTACTGATGAAAGCACTTATATTTGTTATGAATCTATGACAAACATTTAAAAATCTTAATTGCCAAATCATTCTTAAACTATGGACACCCCAAAGGATATACCGTTGCCCGGACTCTTCATGACCAAGAAATGGATTTTAATTGTCAGAGTAGGTCGTGCACAACATGGCGCCCGAGATTCAAATACTTAAGATTTTGCAGAAGTTATCTCATATACCTTCAGATATATTACATGCAAAACAACCATTACCAGACACATGGACGACAGACATTACGATATTCCCGGCCGGGCCAATTGGCTGTGACAAATACAGTTATGTTGAGGTCTTGACTATTATTTAAGTCCACTGTACCTATATATAACAGAAGCAAGACATCTTCTTGTATGTCGTGGTTGGAGACGTGTGGTCCAGGCTGACGCACCAGCAGTGGCTCCAAATAGCTGCCAACACAACCCATCATACAGAATCCTATCATCACCGCTAGGGTCGTGGTCACAGAGGGAGAGTAAAATTTTATGATAAGTACAGTACTCATGTTGTGGAGATATAGTATTAGGCTGTTCTCAAAGTGCCTGTGAAATGAAATCTGGGAAGTGTGGAGAGTTTTAAAAGTACACTATAATGTAGGAGAAAAGGTAGGAAAGGAGGTAAGAGGGAGGAAAGGTGAGAAAAAGATGGGAGGGAAGGTGAGAAAAGATGGGAGGGAAAGTGAAGGAAAGTGGTAAAGAAGATGGGAGGGAAGATGCATAAGGTGATATAAAGATTTCTGTTGACAATTGAAAGTCCGAGTAAGTTAAAGTGAGAAATATATTTTAACTTTGTTACTATTCTTATTTCTTATCACAGTTTATTGGATCCTGAAAATAATTATGGTAACATTATAAGCTATGATGTGGTAGTAAAGAGAAAGAATAAAGTGGAAGGTGTGGTTATTATGAATACATGAAAAACTGGGAAAGAGTTCAATTAACTCACCACCTGCAGTAGTCCTTTCATGCAGCGGAAACCATTCTGCTGCTACAGGTATTGGTGCTGACAGGATAAGTGTACTGGAGATTCCCAGCAGAATGGCACACAGGTGACACATGCTGTAAACACATTTTCTTAATTATTGAAACTGGTGTATTTACCTTCTGGCTGACATGGAAAGGGGGAGCGGGGTAGTTGAAGGTGGAATTTAAATCATATAAATACTATTATGTAATATTGTGCTCAGACGGATGTTGTATAATTTTACTATAAGATCAGGATTCGATTTCCTTCCATCTGCTGATGATGGGCGGGCGTAATCACATAACCCAAAATCACGCCAGGTAACTAGGGCGTAGTTTTAGCACACGTCACATCCGATCGTGCATTTACTTAAGCGATGGATTGAACTGTGTGGAAGAAACTTGAATGGCGGGTGGCAATTAGCATAGACGTCCTGCTTATAACCCTGTACTATACTGTATAACATATTCCCAGAAGAGAGTCCTAATTTTATACCTCAAGTGTTTGACTTTCCCTGCACACTAAACCATAAAGTAAAGATTAGAGAACAGAATCTACCCCATCACTTGGGGCTACCAGACATCAGTTTACACCTCTACAGTACAGTATACTGTATAACCAGTCATTACTACCTGCACATTTTGTTACCTTGAAGGAGAACTTATGATAACCTTTGTTTCATTCTCAACTGTAGCAAGTATTCCGATCATTGCTGGTTTATCTGTGCAGACTTAAAGTTTGTTGCACTTTTAACAAGACTGCAGACTAGATTCACGAAATATATTTGTTTTCTGTGTACAGTATGAGGGACATTCTTGCCCGAGCACAGCATTACATCACAGTGTAATCAGCCCTTCATTCATGGATTTTTACTACTTGCTATATAGTAAACAGAGGCCTGGAGGATGCCTCATGCCTCCAGAGGAGTTCAGGGAATATTGGAGGCAACTGTACAGTACATATTCAGATGTACTCATGAGCCAATAAATGCCTAGTACTTACCAACAGTGAGTAACAGAGAAATGACTGAATGGCTAGTGAGCTGACAAGAGTGGAGGAGGATAAGTAAGTATGCTGTACCCTCTTCTCCCGAAGAAACATTGGAAACAGACTGCCAGAACTCAACCAAGAGTCATTCCAACTGCCCAAACATTAGAAAAAACAGGAAAACAGTTACCATTCGCAAATCACCAACTTCCACAGTTCTCAGGGCTGTAAATTCTTTTACTAGAGCTGATAATCTCCTTGAAAGAGGATAACGGAATGAATAAACCTTACCAAGGCAATAGAAGATAATGATAGTACTCACATGGTAAAAGTAGGGGTGTCGAGGGTGATGCAGCGAAGAGCACTACCGATAAAAACAAGCGCGGTGCAGCTCAACACACCAGCACGAAGACCATATCTCTGTATGGCCCAGCACATGGGGAATACAAATACCACAAACATTATGGTGCCCCAGTTGGCCATTATGGCCACCGTAGACTGGCCCCAACCCGTGAAGCTTTTATTCATACTCTCGCTGATGGGTCCCCATGTGTTCCACTGTACTGCCTGCCAGTATAAACACTCATTAGCCTACTTTAACATTATAATTTTCCATCTGGAACGCTTTAGTGAAAAGGTAAAAAAAAAGGGAATCACGTGAAGATTAAGCACCCCAACTTTTTTCAACATGACGCTTAAACACCCTACCTGGTAGTTAGGTTAGGTTAGATTGAGTTGACTTTAGGGTAGTTAATCTTAGGTGAAATAAGCTGGCGGCTAATCTTCCTATCTAGGGTTAAGGTCATTATATAACTTGTCGTAATCAAAATAACCTTTTCGCCTCTAGTTGTAAGTTATAATGGATAGATGGTAGCAGTACAGTACAGTAAACTACAGTTCATTACCCAATATATGGATCACCTGAAGATTAACCCCCGGATTATTTCACATAATGCTACCTGGGGGGTTAAGTTAGATTAGGCTAGGGTGGTTAATGTTAAGGTGAAATAAACCTAGGAATTAATCTTAGTTGATAATAATATATGTTTTAGGGTGTATCACAACTTACGTGTAGCGCACCTAAGCTGGAGACGATGAAGAGTATCCAGAACCGGGTGAGGTATGTCTTGGTGGTGGGGACGAGGGTTGTGTTGGCCTCTCGCCCCGCCTCTCTGTCTTCTGTGCTCCCATAGTTAGACCCACTTCCGCTTGTGTTGACGATGGTTGTCGGCTCTCCATTGCTCGCTCGTAGTTCTGTTTACCACATTATTTTAACAGGTGTTTAATTATCGGGTGATGTAAACTAGGAGGTTAATCCCCACGTGATTTAGAACAGCCAACATATTATACCGGGTGATTATAAATTATCTTCCCAATTTTAGACATTTGTTCTAAATTACTAACAAAGCTACTTTTTTCCTCTAGGGTTATGTCATAAATGAAGGTTTTGTTCCAGTAATGCCGGCAACTGGAAAACTTGAAGCAGACTTTAGAAAAGATCAGTATGAGTGCATTACGGTATAAAGTTTATTAATGGGAAATCACAAAATCGAGTTACCAGAGTACTACTTGGTTACTTACATAATTAAACGAGATAAATTATTACACGTTTTACAAGGAGTATGTTGATTAAGAGAGAGGGGTGTGCCCGCAACATCCTGTTGAATAATCGGTACACAAGTACTACTGTACTGTATTATGAACTCGTCAAGGTCATTGCCAGATACCTACCTCCTACCATAAATATTTCATGCATACTTTCACCAGATTACTTGAATATAGTCCCTATGCACATTTAAATTTACCTAATCTAACTCAGCCTAACCTAACCTAACCTAATATAATCCAAACTAACCTAACTTAACCCAGACTAACCTAACCTAAACTAGCCTAACCAATAGTTTAATCCCCCAGATAGCGTTAGGGTGTGTAATCATCAGGTGAAATAACCGGGTGGCTAATCTTCAGGTGATGTGTCTTACTATGGTAATGTAAATAAGAAAAAAATAAATTTCACCTTCCCATGTTAAATAATTCCAGAGATACAGCCTTTTGAAATCGTACTTTTTTAAACTTTAATTATATATTTTTTATTCACTAAAGCGTTTATAACTCTGGTTCTAATTAAGCTCAGTATGGTATAAATGTAAAGCTCTTAAATGAAACATTCATTTGATTTGCTACTTAAGATATTTTCATTGACCTTGAATAAATATTATGACAACTCTTCGACTTTAGTTTATGAAAAAATTACCTCAAAATTTATTTTGGGTTTTCTAAAACATTTTGTGATTATATTAGTACCTTTTGGAAATTTTCACATTGGAACATAAATGTGATGAGGGACACGATTCTTCTTTAAATTTTGTGATGTTGCACTGTATGATTAGTTATGTTCAGACACCTGCTGGGAGGAGGCACTTCGACCATTTTGTAAGAAATATGACTATTGGGGAATCGAGAGTGTCTACTCTGACAACAGAGCCAAAATGTGTGATGGACAAACAGATTAAGCTGGAGTGTAGTGTGACTGATTGAAGGTCCACGGAACTCCTGTGCAGAGTTATTGAGTAGCTCAGTGGGGACAAGGGGATAATTTCTATGAAAATGAGTTGGTCAAAGCGGTCCTTTTAGCTAGTGTATGTGTTCCAAATGTAGGTATGCATTTTATAATAATAAGTTAATTAGTCTCTTTCTTTTTCTATAACTCGCCAAAATATTACCAACGGAAATATGCAAATCCCAAACCTGAATTAACAAGATGGTCGTGAATTGTGGCCCCAGAACTGTGTTGACTTAATATAGAATATTCCTTTACTGTTTACCATTTTTATATATTAAAGGGGTCTCATAAAGATTTGCACCCCCCAGCTTATTTCACCTGATGAAACATACAATCACTACCTGAGGGGGGGGGGGCTTGGTTAGGTAAGCGTTAATTTAGGCTAGTGTCGCGATCCCACTACTCTTTATACTTGGGGAGTGAATCCTACCCCAAGTTATTAACAAATAAAGGTACAAACAGGGAACACGGCAATAATTATCTCCACCAAATACCTACTCAACTAAATGTACTTGAAAAAGTAAGAACAGTTGAAATAAGTGAATTACAAAATGGAAGATAATTAATTAATTCAATTTATGTTTTAAAGGGAGTAATGATTAGCAAACATGAATTTAAGTGAATAAGTAATTGTATAATAAAATAAGAGTGATGCCGGAAGGGCGAAACTATACTGTAAGGAGTTAGACCAAACAAATATTACTTAACATTACTATATTACACAAAACATACGAAATATATATATACAACAATCAATACAAAATGATTATCCCTACCAAACAGGAGATACCTTACCACCAGGATCCCTTCCTAGGCCTAACTAAACGTGTCACTAATACCTGATACCCCTAGGGCATTGCAGAAGACTTGATAAAGCACTTAGACAAAGGTCAAGGCTAGAGAACGAATAGACACGTCTAACATATGCCACGGATTTTTCGCTACTGGGGAGCGTGGCGTGGGTACGCCGTGGAGGAGCGTCTCATATCACGTGATCTAGACATTTGCTGGATATTTTATATAATTAATTAATATTACTCTTGAGTTGACTTAACAGAGTAAGACAATGATGCATATAAATTACATACATAAATATACAATTAACCTAAGTAGCTAAGAACAATAATAATATAATAAGTACAATTAACAATTATTAGTAGCTTGTGTGAAATGGAAGAGTGAACAGATGCAGCGAGTTGCCGAGCGCTCAGGCACGTGACACTAGACTACTAATTTTTATACGATTTGACTATTCAATTTACTTACTACTGTTTTTGTTGAAGTGACAAGTGCGTGTAGTCTCGGTAAGATGATTTTTACAGTTCTGTAATAAAGGCTCCTCCAACATCCTGCCTTATGTCCTGAAGTGTCGTATGTGTTCAGTATGATACGGTTGGTGCCTGGTGTTTTTATACTGGTGGTTCAATGCCACACCACCCCTTACAATGATGACTCTTATTGCGCTAAACAAAAATACAGATAAATCATTTTCATATCTAATCTAGTTATCTACTGTATAGCATTAGGGTACACTCTATTACTACTACAGGTACTACTTTGCTGTCACTCGGAGTCGAATATGGTGATCATCCAGCTATGGTACAATGATATCAGTTATTATGGATGTCACCTAGGTTGGTGAGTTCTGAGGTGACTAAAGAGGCCGATACGGGACCCGCAGCGTCGATCAGAAGTTGTACATGTGGGGGGGCTACATCTAGTGCGGGAGGGGCGGCGACAGCGTCTTTCCGGCGGTGGCGCTTGCCTGCCCCGTTATGTAGTCGGGCTAACTCGAAAGTATTGACACCTTCTTGTGTGGTGATCCTCTAAGCGTTAGGATGTGGAGTACTTGTCTCCCAGGTGAGGGGGTCGATTTGGCACTTTTTCAGGTTTGTCTTAAGACTATTCTTATACCTTTTGAGTTACCACTGTTACATCACCTATTGTTTCTATTTACCACTGTTACATCACCTATTGTTTCTATTTACTACTGTTACATCACCTAATGTTTCTATTTACCACTGTTACATCACCTATTGTTTCTATTTACCACTGTTACATCACCTATTGTTTCTATTTACCACTGTTACATCACCTATTGTTTCTATTTACCACTGTTACATCACCTATTGTTTCTATTTACCACTGTTACATCTATTTACCTATTGTTTCTATTTACCACTGTTACATCACCTATTGTTTCTATTTACCACTGTTACATCACCTATTGTTTCTATTTACCACTGTTACATCACCTATTGTTTCTATTTACCACTGTTACATCACCTATTGTTTCTATTTACCACTGTTACATCACCTATTGTTTCTATTTACCACTGTTACATCACCTATTGTTTCTATTTACCACTGTTACATCACCTATTGTTTCTATTTACCACTGTTACATCACCTAATGTTTCTATTTACCACTGTTACATCACCTATTGTTTCTATTTACCACTGTTACACCACCTATTGTTTCTATTTACCACTGTTACATCACCTATTGTTTCTATTTACCACTGTTACATCACCTATTGTTTCTATTTACCACTGTTACATCACCTATGTTTCTATTTACTACTGTTACACCACCTAATGTTTCTATTTACCACTGTTACATCACCTATTGTTTCTATTTACCACTGTTACATCACCTATTGTTTCTATTTACCACTGTTACACCACCTATTGTTTCTATTTACCACTGTTACATCACCTATTGTTTCTATTTACCACTGTTACATCACCTATTGTTTCTATTTACCACTGTTACATCACCTATTGTTTCTTATTTACCACTGTTACATCACCTATTGTTTCTATTTACCACTGTTACATCACCTATTGTTTCTATTTACCACTGTTACATCACCTATTGTTTCTATTTATCACTGTTACATCACCTATTGTTTCTATTTACCACTGTTACATCACCTATTGTTTCTATTTACCACTGTTACATCACCTATTGTTTCTATTTACCACTGTTACATCACCTATTGTTTCTATTTACCACTGTTACATCACCTATTGTTTCTATTTACCACTGTTACATCACCTATTGTTTCTATTTACCACTGTTACATCACCTATTGTTTCTATTTACCACTGTTACATCACCTATTGTTTCTATTTACCACTGTTACATCACCTATTGTTTCTATTTATCACTGTTACATCACCTATTGTTTCTATTTACCACTGTTACATCACCTATTGTTTCTATTTACCACTGTTACATCACCTAATGTTTCTATTTACCACTGTTACATCACCTATTGTTTCTATTTATCACTGTTACACCACCTATTGTTTCTATTTACCACTGTTACATCACCTATTGTTTCTATTTACCACTGTTACATCACCTAATGTTTCTATTTACCACTGTTACATCACCTAATGTTTCTATTTACTACTGTTACACCACCTAATGTTTCTATTTACCACTGTTACATCACCTAATGTTTCTATTTACCACTGTTACATCACCTAATGTTTCTATTTACCACTGTTACACCACCTATTGTTTCTATTTACCACTGTTACATCACCTATTGTTTCTATTTACCACTGTTACATCACCTAATGTTTCTATTTACCACTGTTACATCACCTATTGTTTCTATTTACCACTGTTACATCACCTATTGTTTCTATTTACTACTGTTACACCACCTATTGTTTCTATTTACTACTGTTACACCACCTAATGTTTCTATTTACCACTGTTACATCACCTAATGTTTCTATTTACCACTGTTACATCACCTATTGTTTCTATTTACCACTGTTACATCACCTATTGTTTCTATTTACCACTGTTACATCACCTATTGTTTCTATTTACCACTGTTACATCACCTAATGTTTTCTATTTACCACTGTTACATCACCTATTGTTTCTATTTACCACTGTTACATCACCTATTGTTTCTGTGTTGCTGTTGCATCACCTATTGTTTCTATTTACCACTGTTTAGAAAAGCTACCTAATGTTTCTATTTTACACTGTTACATCACCTATTGTTTCTATTTACCCTGTTACATCACCTATTGTTTCTATTTACCACTGTTACATCACCTATTGTTTCTATTTACTATTACATCACCTAATGTTTCTATTTACCACTGTTACATCACCTATTGTTTCTATTTACCACTGTTACATCACCTATTGTTTCTATTTACCTGTTACATCACCTATTGTTTCTATTTACCACTGTTACATCACCTATTGTTTCTATTTACCACTGTTACATCACCTAATGTTTCTATTTACCACTGTTACATCACCTATTGTTTCTATTTACTACTGTTACACCACCTAATGTTTCTATTTACCACTGTTACATCACCTAATGTTTCTATTTACCACTGTTACATCACCTATTGTTTCTATTTATCACTGTTACATCACCTAATGTTTCTATTTACCACTGTTACATCACCTAATGTTTCTATTTATCACTGTTACATCACCTAATGTTTCTATTTACCACTGTTACATCACCTATTGTTTCTATTTACCACTGTTACATCACCTATTGTTTCTATTTACCACTGTTACATCACCTAATGTTTCTATTTACCACTGTTACATCACCTAATGTTTCTATTTATCACTGTTACATCACCTAATGTTTCTATTTACCACTGTTACATCACCTATTGTTTCTATTTACCACTGTTACATCACCTATTGTTTCTATTTACTACTGTTACACCACCTAATGTTTCTATTTACCACTGTTACATCACCTATTGTTTCTATTTACCACTGTTACATCACCTATTGTTTCTATTTACCACTGTTACATCATCTAATGTTTCTATTTACCACTGTTACATCACCTATTGTTTCTATTTACTACTGTTACATCACCCTAATGTTTCTGTACCACTGTTACATCACCTATTGAAACCTGTTACTACTGTTACACCACCTAATGTTTCTATTTACCACTGTTACATCACCTAATGTTTCTATTTACCACTGTTACATCACCTATTGTTTCTATTTACCACTGTTACATCACCTAATGTTTCTATTTACCACTGTTACATCACCTATTGTTTCTATTTACCACTGTTACATCACCTATTGTTTCTATTTACCACTGTTACATCACCTATTGTTTCTATTTACTACTGTTACATCACCTAATGTTTCTATTTACCACTGTTACATCACCTATTGTTTCTATTTACCACTGTTACATCACCTATTGTTTCTATTTACCACTGTTACATCACCTATTGTTTCTATTTACCACTGTTACATCACCTAATGTTTCTATTTACTACTGTTACATCACCTATTGTTTCTATTTACCACTGTTACATCACCTATTGTTTCTATTTACCACTGTTACATCACCTAATGTTTCTATTTACCACTGTTACATCACCTATTGTTTCTATTTACCACTGTTACATCACCTATTGTTTCTATTTACCACTGTTACATCACCTAATGTTTCTATTTACCACTGTTACATCACCTATTGTTTCTATTTACTACTGTTACACCACCTATTGTTTCTATTTACCACTGTTACATCACCTAATGTTTCTATTTACCACTGTTACATCACTATTGTTTCTATTTATCACTGTTACATCACCTATTGTTTCTATTTACCACTGTTACATCACCTATTGTTTCTATTTACCACTGTTACATCACCTATTGTTTCTATTTACCACTGTTACATCACGTATTGTTTCTATTTACCACTGTTACACCACCTATTGTTTCTATTTACCACTGTTACATCACCTATTGTTTCTATTTATCACTGTTACATCACCTATTGTTTCTATTTACCACTGTTACATCACCTATTGTTTCTATTTACCACTGTTACATCACCTATTGTTTCTATTTACCACTGTTACATCACCTATTGTTTCTATTTACCACTGTTACATCACCTATTGTTTCTATTTACCACTGTTACATCACCTATTGTTTCTATTTACCACTGTTACATCACCTATTGTTTCTATTTACCACTGTTACATCACCTATTGTTTCTATTTACCACTGTTACATCACCTATTGTTTCTATTTACCACTGTTACATCACCTATTGTTTCTATTTACCACTGTTACATCACCTATTGTTTCTATTTACCACTGTTACATCACCTATTGTTTCTATTTACCACTGTTACATCACCTATTGTTTCTATTTATCACTGTTACATCACCTATTGTTTCTATTTACCACTGTTACATCACCTATTGTTTCTATTTACCACTGTTACATCACCTATTGTTTCTATTTACCACTGTTACATCACCTATTGTTTCTATTTACCACTGTTACATCACCTATTGTTTCTATTTACCACTGTTACACCACCTATTGTTTCTATTTATCACTGTTACATCACCTATTGTTTCTATTTACACTGTTACATCCCCTCTTGTTTCATTTACCACTGTTACATCACCTATTGTTTCTATTTACCACTGTTACACACCACCTATTGTTTCTATTTATCACTGTTACATGCTATTGTTTCTATTTATCACTGTTACATCACCTATTGTTTCTATTT